CAGCCTTGCTCAGCTGCAAAAAGCTGGCAAAACAGGCAAATACCGGTACTCCATTCCTCTCCATTAATCCATTAATTTACAAGCTAGTAGATACCTAAAGCTGAATTCCTTAGAAGATCACTGAGGTACGCTATCGTAGGGTCATTTAATTTGTTACATTTGGGAAGTGTCCATCTTAAAATGTAGAATGCAGAAGAGGCAAACACATGTTTGGAAAGGAAACACACATTATCTGCAGACTCTGACATTGGAGAGCCAGCTTTGACTTGAGCTCTGTCTCAAGTATACTCAGGGTGGCAAACTTGGGTTTTCTGCTTTGCAATGTGTGCAACAGCCTTAACAATCCTGTGATCAATGTGTATTTTCTGCCATCCCATTCAAGTGGGATATAAATTTAATAACGAAATAAATCACTGTTGCAAGTTTTGTTTTTGTTTTTCTTAAATGTGATGAATGTTTGAATTTGGTATCTACTAAAATAGGAAATGATGGGGCGCTGAATGTTACTTAACATAGGGCTAATCAACCCCTGCCAAACTCCCAACTCTGTTGCCAACTGCCCTCCCTTTGCAACTGGCCAAACTCCCTCCCCCTCCCTTTACTGATCCCCCCCCAAAACCCCTTCCCCTCACAGCTCACTCATCCCCCGGGCTTCCTTCTCTCAGTCAAAGCAGTGGGGGGGGGGGACAAAGGGAAGAAAGTCATCCTCCCCCCTCCAGCCACAGCAGCAACAACAACAACAGGAGAAGTGTGGGAAGGCCTGGCTTTGCTTGTGAATGTAAACTTGGTTTTCAGTGTAATGGCGGACAAGTGCTGATGTAGTAAAGAGTGGCATACCTACATATTGAAATATTTATATCCCTCCTTTCAGTCCCCAGAGAGACCCTGAGGTAAAGACTTCTCAGAAGTTGGTGCCCAGTATAAAAGGCATGCTTGTAGGTTGAACATTGGATATATTGTGTGAACTCACAGCAGAATGGCAACAGTAGTTGGACACTGTAACAGTAGTAATCAAAAATAGTAAAAACAGAGGGGCTACAACACATAAAATAAAAAAATGTAGTTATTTACATTTAATATTCAGTTCTATTTATGCAGCTGAATAAAGAGCATCTCGGAATGAGCATAATATAGGCTTGGATGATTTGTCAAGTTAACAAGAGCAAACACAAGCATCAAATAATTACTTTCCCAATCAGAATTTTAGACCATCTTAAATCAAAATTAGGCAAAGAGGAAATCAACATAATATTAGAGGAAATCAATGTAAAGTGAAGAACTTGCTGGGTGTGCTTGAAGAATCAGTGATCAGGCTTTTAGAACAAACTTCCTTCTTACATTTCTCTGCAAGTCCCCTTAGCAGTCCTGCATGGTGGAGTTCCTATTAACTCTAGTGAATGGTAATAAATGTCAAGATGTAGTTATGAATGCTGGATAATTGATTTGTTGTTTTAATTTGAACTCTGTTGAGTTGGTTAAGTTTTTTGCCTAGCCACAGGACCTGGCCTATTCACATTGCCTACCCAATTCAACTGCACTAAGTCCACACTAATAAAAGATGAAAGGAAAGTGCAGATTGGGTCCCTGTCTTGCTCTGTTGGGGCTTGCTAAGAGTACTACTCCCCCCTCCACAACTCCAGACACCTCCTGGTCTGGGAGCAAGAAGGAGAAATGGGAGGTGAAAGATATAAAACATCTCCCAAGTGGTTCTTCGCCCTGTGGAATGCCCTCCCACCAGATGTCAAAGAGAAAAATAACTACCAAACTTTTAGAAGACATCTAAAGGCAGCCCTGTTTAGGGAAGCTGTTAATGTTTAATATGTTATTGTATTTTAGTGTTTTGTTGGAAGCCACCCAGAGTGGCTGGGGAAACCCAGCCAGATGGGTGGGGTATAAATAATAATTTATTATTATTATTATTATTATTATTATTATTATTATTATTATTATTTGATAAGACAGGTGGATTGCGTGCACTGTTTGTCTCACAGTAAGAACAATAAGGCAATTAAAACATAAACCACAATAATCAGGAGCACAAAGCGATCAGAATTACTGCTTCACAGAGTGTTCAGCATAACAGGGTCTAGAATGGATCCCAGTGTGTCATAAAGCATATTTCCAAAATAATTTCTTTCTATATAACATTTGAGTCCCATTGATTTCAGCACTGCGGTTAGGCAGGTGCTTTGCTCTTTTCCAAAGAAACTGAAATGCATGTGCTGAAAATTGCACTGTACCAGTGAATAGACAGTAAAAAGAAAAAGAAAAAATACAGTCAAAATGTAAGCCAAGTCTGGAATGTTGACCATTTAATCGGTTTACATGTGTGTTTAAAATTAGAATATAAAAAGCAGAACTAGGTGGCGCTTTCTAGTCATGACATATATAGTACACAAGCATTCCAGGTGCAGGAGTTTAAAATAAAACTCACTGCCCCACAACTGCTGCCTACCTGCTTACCCAAATCATAACTGTAGAGGATTGCTAGATTTTGGATACTACACCCCTAATTTCCAAGGATTCTGATACATTTGCAGCACACCAAACTTTCCCCCCATCAATCTTCAGTCTTCCTAGAGTTAAAAGATACATGTATGGTACTCATCTCACCACACTTCCCTCTGCTGGATGGAATGTATGTTGCATCATTTATACATTTGAACTTGGCATCAGAAGCTGAGGCCAGTCTATTCTGAAGTAAGAGGGCCCAAGTTACCGGTATGTTGTGTTTCTGAACAGGACTTTCTCATGGTTAGTTTAGGTGTTGCCTGTTATCATTTATCTTTCTTATTTTTTAAAATTATAGACAATTCCCACAGCACTTTGGAATTATTCTTTTATTTTCAGTAAGGTTGCCATTGAAGGATATTGTAAAATTGAGTATTTTGGAGCTGTGTCTTGAGAAAGAAGAGCCAGTTCAATGTTTCTATTACACAGTCTGCAGCACGATTGGTACAGCCATGCATTTCAGGTTCCATGCCACTCTCATACCACCTGAATTTGACTTCCCATGTGTTTCAGACTAGCAGCAGGGTTTTGTCATACTGGGAGCCAAATGCGCTGGAATGGTGCTTACAATGAAATAATTCGAGAAGCCAAATGAAGACATCACCACAGCCACATGCATCCCTGGCCATATGGAAGTGGCAAATACTGCAGCTATGCTGAAATAGCCATTGTGTTCTATGGAAGTGTGAAGCAGCCAGCCATCTCTGCACAAGGTATGTTGTTAGTTTCAGGCTTACATCCATAGCTGTCAAGGTTTCCCTTTTTTTAAGAGAAATTCCCTTATTCCAAATAGGATTCCTCGCAAGAAAAGGGAAAAGTTGACAGCTATGCTTACATCCCTTTTAGAGACCTTATCCATCTTTGTTGCCAGCAAAGAGATGAAACAAATATGAGTTGTATAATGTGTCTAAACTGCGTATTTGTATTCAGAGTCTGAAGGAATGATTTATTGCTTTGTTATTGATAAATTATGCAATTTGCTATTACGCAAACATGTGTGTTATTTGGGAGCACCAAGTATGAGGCGACACCTTGGGAACTAATTAGTTTATTGTGGCATGAGCTCTGCTTATTCTGGTGCAAAAGCAGTGGATTGAATTTCTTACTCAACATTTTGAAAGTTGTACATATACAGAAGAAGAACCTTGCCAGATCAAATCAAAGGTCCATTTAGCCCAGCATCCTGTTCGGAATTTGCAGTTTGCATATGGCAAATTAAAGTGCAATTAGCAATTTGTGAACAGTTAATTGGCTATGTATTCACTTTTTAATATAAGATTCCCAATTTTATTTTAGCAAACTTGTTATTATGTTCAGTTATGGTTGCTTCACCTTAAAAAAGGATGTTGTACATTCAGAGAGAAAAAAGGCAACCAAAATGATCCAGGGTATTGAGGAGCTCCCCTGTGAGGAGAGGTTAAAACCTTGGTTGGCCTTTTAATACAGAGAAAATGGGAGCGGTGACATGAAAGGAGTGTAGAAAATGATGTATGGTCGGAGACAGCAGATAGAGGCAAGTTTTTCTCTCGCTCTCTCCTAACACTAGAACTTGTAGAAGCTGAATGTTGGAAGATTCAGGGCACACAAAAGAAAGCAATTCTTCACACAGTGTATTGCCAGACTATGGATCTCACCCACCCAGGAGGCAGGGATAGCCAGCAACCTGGATGGCTTTAAAAGAAGAACAGGCAACTTCATGGAGGAGAAGGCTATTTGCCTTGATGGCTATGCTCTGTCTCCACTGCTGGGGGCAGCCTGCTTCAGAACACCAGTTGCTGGAAATCACAACGGGAGAGAGTCTGCTCCGGCTTGCAGGCTCCCTATTGGGATTTGGTTGGCCACTGTGAGGACAGGATGCCCGATTAGATGGGCCACTGGGCTGATCCTGTTCTTATATTCTTATGGGCTATTGGCTGATGTTGGTGGCTGAAAATGGAATTCCTTCATTCCAAAAGTTGACACCTTTCTGTTTGCAGTTTGGTGGTCTTCTTTGAGTGGGAGAGGATTCATCATTCTTGAACCAAGAATCCGGAGTTTTCACTCAGTTAATCTGCAGCGGGGTTTGTTTTCTTTTTATCTACCTGTGAATCGGGTTTACTCTGCAAACCTTGCGTTTTATGAATCTACTTTACTGCTCTTTCAAAGCTCAATTCGACAGGAACTGGGATGATTTCTTGTTTACGGAGCAGATATTTTATAGTGGACCTCCAGGAAGAGCTAAAAAAAAAAAAAGCTGCCAAATTTAATTATTCCAGATAATTCCGGCGCGAAACTGGATAATCGCCCCCAAACAGATGACTCAAGGGGGCTTGGAACGTTCGCCTTCCTTCGCGCGGAGTGGCCCGGCGCAGCTGTGGGAGGTTCCTCGCGGGGCGCTCCGCCCGCCCTCCTCCAATCAGAAGTCGAGCAGGCCTCCCGAGGCGCTCGCCTGCATTTCCATTCATCTCCCGCAGGAGACAGGAGCCGCGCACGTGCCGGCGAGTCCCTCTCGAGAGCCCAGCAAAGGCGGACGAGCGCGAGGGCGGGAAAAAGCTCGCGGGCGGCCTGGGCCAGCGACGTCTTTCCCGGGAGTCGCTCCGCGCCCCCTCAGGGGACTTTCCCGCCCAGCGTCTTTTGGGCTGCGCGCGGCGAGTCTGTGCAGCTCCCGCGCCTTTTTATATGGCGCTAGGACCCAGGCGAGTCTGTCTCTCGTGAGTCAGTTGCCGCAACAGCAGCGGCGGCGGCGGCTCGGTCGGAGTTGAGCGAGAGCGCCGTGGATGAGGCTGCGGCGCGCGCGCGAAGTGAATGGCTCGCGTGCGTTGGGAAAGTGGCCACGGAGCGAGGCGCTCGAGGATCCCGTGCGTGAGCCTGCGCGACGGCGCCTATAGCGGCGGCAGCAGCAGCAGCAGCGGCGGCAGCAGCAGCTCCTAGGGGGGCCTCTCTCCACCTGCCCGCGGTCGCAGCGCTGAGGTGAGTCGCCAGCCCGCCTTGGGCCAATGGACGCAGCAGGCGCGTGAGGAGAAGTTGCTGCTGGGCTGCCCGGGCGCGGAGCGGCCGGCCGCAGGGGACGCCAGCCAACTCCCAAGCCCGCAGGCTGCGGTCCCGGGGCTGTCACTGGAAATGAAGGTCCCTCGTGGGGTTGGACCAAGAAAGCCCAGCAGCCTCTGGGATGAGCGAAGATTAGTGGCGCGTCTTTCTCTGGGTAGCCGCAGCCCCGTCCGAAAGTCGAGGCTTAGAGGGCGCAGTGGTCCCTTATCAAATAAATAAATCCATAAACGGCGTGAGTAGCCCGTTTTCGCCTAGTTCCGCGTATGGTCGCACAGGGGGAAAAAATGCCTATGGCATTCTGGTGTAAATCAGGGCACAGGCTGTGGTTCTCTCGCGCTGTTTTTACACTTTTTAAAGCCCCCAGACACGTACAGGGTTGAGTTCCCCTCCAGCTACAAACTCCCTGCTGGGACAGGATGGAAACTGACGGTACTCATTGATTTATGGTTTGTGATTAAGCTTTTCCCCCCACCCCTGAAAGCGAATGCCAGGCAGAAGGGGAAAGAGGCGAGCAGATGAGCGGGAGGGGGTTGTTTTGTTTTTGTAGCTCCTTGGGACAGTTTGTGGATCTGTTTCTTCCACCCCTTAACTTTTGAGCATTGCCTTGTCCGGTGGGAAACCTGCAGGAAAGAAATGGATATATGAATAGTGTGCTTGTCCGGCTGGTTTTTCCCCAAATTGTCACAAGCTTGGAAATTTGTGAGCATCGAAGTGTATTACTGTAAATCCTTTGTATAAGCTAGGTGTGGGTTTTCTCTTGTACTGCATAACGTAGCCTTGTACCTTAGCTTAACTGAAAACATGCATCAGAACTTTGTTGTTAAGTTGCAGGAAGAGATTCTGTCTAGAACTCCTCATGTTAGCTTTACTTTATCTTACCTGGTTCCAGTGATGCTCCCATTGTTTGATCGACATTCCATCATTAAATAATTCCATGGCACTGTACTGCTATAAAATGAGGAACGTCATTATGGTCCATGAAATTGTATTATTGGGGGTGGGGTGGGGAGTCAGGCATTTGCCTACAGGACAAAAAAAGATAATAAGGACCAACAGCCAAATGGGTTGGATGAGTCATATATTGAGCCAAAGATGATCAGGACCTTAACATCAAGTATCTGAATCATTGCTTAACAATCTTTGAAACATCTGGAGACATTGTTCAGTGATACAGTCACTTTCAAAGGAGTATGTGGAATTGGGATAACGATAATTCAGCAACTTGAGAAATGCAGAGAACTCACCCTTAAGGGACAAAATCTGTTTCACAAGATGCTAGGAGAGGAAGTCATGAAGTTTCTGTTGCTCATTACTTTCTCCTAGTATTAGGTAAGCACAACTTTGCTCAGAAGCAACCTTGCTCTTCTTCTTTTAGTTCTCTGTTTTCTCATTTTAAAAATGGACAGAAAGCTAAAGAGTTGTGAAATTGTGTCTGTTCAACTTGCTTCAAAGTGTCAAAGTTTCAATTCAAGAAAACTAACTTGTTTCTGAATGGAAAGTGCTTATCCTTTACAGTACAACATACAAAGATAAATTCAGCTGGTATATTATGAAGTCTGAACTTGTGTTGGTGAGATAGATCCCACTTGTTGATGCAGATTTGTTTTGCTTCTGTACACATTAAAATTCTGTGTCACTTGCATGTATTTCAAAGGGGGGGAAGTCTGTTTCAAGACTCACGTACAGATCGCTGTAGTTTGTTTTCTAAGCATCAGTTTAAAGAAGAGGTGTATTTATTATTTGTACTAAACAATTTAATTCTGCTTGTATTGTGGTTGTGTTTCAACTGTTGAAAATGAAACTGTTTCATTTTTGCTTAAACACCATAAAGTGTAGCATGCATGGAAATACAGTAGTACAAAATTCAGTTCTGTCACATAATGTCAGTCCAGGCCAGGCTGATGGAGCTCTCCCAGACCATCCATTACAGTTTTTGAAAATGTCACTGTTTATCATGGCCATTTAAAGCAGTGGTGACCTCTGCTGGCAATTCCCATCTAAAAAATATGTGCTGAATTCAGCCATCTGATAAACATGAATTGTTCCTGATTGATTTAATAACATGCATTAAAGTAGGTTGGCTAATAAAACCATGAAGTTCACTTACACAGTTGTAATGACATTAATGGAGTTTGCTTCTAAGTAAGCGTACATAGGATAAAGTTGTAAAAAAAAATCCCTATTCTACCACCTCTCCACATGTGTTCTTCAGTTTTGTACTATTTTGTGAGCTAGATTACACATATAGATTCCATTTTTTTGGTTTATGTTGCTTGCCAGAAACACTGTCTGTTTTCGAGGTGAAGGAGTAGTTTTAATAATATAACAAAATTTCAGGGGGAAGACTGTTCCACATGAATATCTGGCATTTCAGATGGAAATAGTTTACTTTGTTATTGGTTAAACATTAAGCAATCCATGGTCTGGAATTAATTCACCTATAGAAGCAGGGGGAGATTCTCTGCTTTTTGGGGTTTTTTCTCTTTCTCTTGGCCTTTGTATGATTACCAGAAGACAAAAGAGATAGATATACAGTTGAGTTACAGGTAGATGAGAGAGAACTTACTCGTGCGTACACATGCAGCTGTCTTGCAGTTAATGGTGCTTGCCTAATTTAACCCTGCTTTGGTCTTCTAGCATTAACATTAGTGGAAATAGTAGACCACCCATAAGACTGTAAATGATAGCAAAAACTTTGTAGTAATGAACATGAGAATGCAGAGGTCTTTATAGAAAACAACTGCAATACGCACACACATCTATACATCAAAATTAGTTTTTGTCTACCAAGGCAATAATTCAATGTTGGCTCAGAATCTTGAGATTTGGACTTGATAATAGCTACTGTGCTTGGAAAATCAGCTTCTGGATAACAGAAAATAGCCAAATGGTGCTGTTTTAAATATTGAAAGCACTCAGAGAGTTTGTTCAAATGGTAGATTCCCCAATACTGAAGTGTTAAACTAGAAGTAGATGATAAAAATGTAGAGAGGTGTAAATGAATGTAAAAGTACCTAAGGAAAGATTTTATCTGCTTTATCTTGTTAAGTCAGTTGGATACATTTTAAGTAGACTAATAGATGCAATAATGATAATTCAGTGAGTTCCCATTTGCTATAATTGTGTCTTCCAGTTGGAATCAGCAAAGAGATCAAAATGCAGCCCCTTTGAGACAGAGGGGGAAAGCAAAATAACAACAACACAAATATCAGTAAATCCCATGGCAATCTCTAAAACATGCTATCCTGTATAAGTCAGTTCAAAATTAATTCCCATTGAGTTTCCAGGTCAGAGTGAATAAGACTGCAGCCTAAAAAGTGAAAAGGCAGTAGCAGTTTGTTGTTGGCATCTGTCCGTCTTGAGAGAGAATGGAGTGGGCATTAGCAGCCCTGAAGTGACCTCTTCAGGCCTCAGCAGTGTGTATGGAGGTCCTGGGCTTGGCTGCAGGAGTTGCCGGTAGGAGGTGTACGAGGCCCTATCTTAGAGACTGCACTCCAAGTTTGTGTAGGGTTTATTTTTTAGCCTTTCCTTCTCTTAAATATACCCCACAAGGCAGCGGAGGCTTAGGATCAGAGTTTTCGTTCTCCTAGGTAAGCTACCTTCCCAGGTTGACGAGCCCCATCTGCCCCAGTACAGCAGAATAGAATGATAATCTGCAAAAAGACTGCTGAAATTATGCATTCTTCACCCCCCATTTAAAAGTGTGGTACAAACCTCTCATGGGAGAGGGTACCAGTTCTTGGCTGCTGAACTAAATGTCTCAGAAATGTAGGGGAGATTGTAGGGATTCTTGAGAAATACTGGCCCCAGGCCATTTGGGGTTTCAGAGGTCAAAACCAGCTCCTTGCATTAAGCCTGGAAACAAGATCAGTTAAGCTGGTACAAGATCTGTGTAATATGAACTGATTGACTGGCTCCTGTCCAAGCTTCTGGTTGCTGAAATCTGAAACTTCCAGATTGTCTTCAAGTGCAGCCCCACATAGTGAACATTAAAGTGGTCTGATCTGAAGGTGAATGACTGAGACCAGGTCTGGTTTATCAAAAAGAAAGAAAGAGAAAGGGACAGTTATCATGTAAGCTGGAAGGACGTATTTCCTGCAACCACTGCCACCAGAATATTGAACCATCACATTTCTATCTATCTAGAGTTAACAGCCCTAGTCCAGATTTGTTTACTCTTCTGTGGTATCTTCTAAAGTGCATTCATACACCTCAGGTGGGGGGGCTAGAATAATAGAATTGTAGAGTTGGAAGGTATCCCAAGAGTCATCTGGTTCAACCTTGTGCAATGCAGGAATTAACATAACTTCAAGAAGAACCAGCAATCCTGGACCAAATTGGAGAGGCATCTTTTACATTTGCAATATTCCCTTTGCTTAATGTAAACAAACTTCTATTTCCTTCTTCTTGTTATGGGTTCAATTCAACTGAGCCACAGTGTCCTAAAAATGTTCTTTGCCTTTGCAGTTACCCTCACGATCGAAAATTAAAGATGAAATTAATTTAAAGGCAGCTAATATTAATATAACAGCTTCTTTTTCTTGTTATTACAATCTTTGGTTTATGCTTCATACAGAGACATTTAAAAGATTTGTATGTGATTAAAGCTAGAGTAGAACTGAAGTACATAGTCAACAGCTCAAAGCTCAATGGCTTATGCAAGAGTTTGTGGCTCCTATGAGTTACTTGAAATGTGGAGCAAAGCAATATTCCTTGTAGTTTTAAAATCATATCAGACTCAAGCTGAATTATTAAATGTGCATCAATATGACTGGAAGGAGGATTTTACATCACTTTTTAAATTGAATTATATATGTCTAGAATTGGATGGAACCTTGTAACCCCCTTTCTGCTGCAGGAGATGCAGACCTAGAACATTCTCAATAGATCGCTGTCCCTACCAACCCTCTACCTAATTATTTCCATTTGTAACTGCTTTCACCTACAAGACATTTCCCCTAATATTCTCCTAAAGTCAACCAATGTGGTGTCATGGTGTTTTATCATGTTTTCAGTATTCTGTTGGAAGCCACCCAGAGTGGCTGGGGAAATCCAGCCAGATGGGCGGAGTATAAATAATAAATAATAAATAATAATAATTATATTATAGGAGACAGGGGTTCAAATCCACAGAAACAGAATTGAGTGTTCTGATGGTTCCTAAGCTGTCCCAGGGAAAGAGTGGAGCAAATCAGAGGGTTTCTTCCTGTTACCAGAGCACCAACTACTTGTTCAGCACCATTGCTGTTGCCTGTTTTACCAGTCATAAGGCCAGCAGAAGAATGAGAGTTGGGCTGAGTAGATGGGATTTTCTTCTCCATTGAAGCCCGGGGCGTTTCATCTCTGTCCAGCCCAGCAGCACAATAGTAATATAATAGCCCTTTTTGAGATGGATGTGTAAAAAGCAATCTTCCTTCCATCATAGCATTGGGCTTGGTGGAAAAGTTTCTCTCTGCCCTGCAGTGCCCAACCCAGCACCATGATGGGGAGAAAATTCCCTCCACACATCAGCAAAGGAATGGGGAGGGTATTGTGTATACAGTGGTACCTCTGGTTACGTACTTAATTCGTTCCGGAGGCCCGTTCTTAACCTGAAACTGTTCTTAACCTGAAGCACCACTTTAGCTAATGGGGCCTCCCACTGCTGCTGTGCCGCTGCTGTGCCATTACTGTTCTCATCCTGAAGCAAAGTTCTTAACCCGAGGTACTATTTCTGGATTAGCAGAGTCTGTAACTTGAAGCGTATGTAACCAACCTGAAGTGTGTGTAACCCGAGGTATCACTGTATATCTCTTCCTCTGTGTGTCTTTGTTCCTTGGGCTGAAAAGGGCGAGCCAGCCCTATTTTAAGCACTCCGCTTTTGTTTATTATGAGAATAAGCCTTTCATTATTAAGACTTCATGCATTTCTGCAGATATCCATAACTGAGATGATTATGACTGCCTAGAACCTCCATAACTAAGGAAGATGAAATACATCTGTCGCTCTAATGCAGTGATCTAAGTGCTTGTGCTTGGGATTCAGTTTGTAATTCTAGTTCTGATCTAGTAATAATGTTGTTTTAGAAGAGAACCCTTTATGTTTGTAACCTTGCCCACAGATCTGGGTTGGCTTGATCATGGTATATGAAACTTACAGGAGATTAGGTAATGAAGTGCAGAGTCAGTTCCTGTACCCTTTTCAGGCAGGTATTTCTACCTGTTAGGTAAAGAATGATGCTGGCTCCCAGGAATTTTAAACATTTAAACTGTCCTGCATAGCGTATCTAAATATTTGAAACTGAATACTATTGATTTTATAATTTGTTATTTATATCAAATTATTGGAAAACAGTTTAAGCACATAAAAAACCAGCAGAACAAAAATGGAAGTACAATAGGTTATTTCACTCTTTAAATTAATCTGACATATGCGAATTCTTGGATCCTAGTAATTGCAATTCATTCTGGGGCAGGGGAGCCTCGTGGTCAAATGTAGCAAGCCAATGGAACACTTAATTTTTTTCCTTTGTAAATCTTCCAGTAGGTCCAGCCAGAAAGGCTCTTAAGAACTATATGCAAAACTGTCCCCCTTTTACTCCTTCTTGTGCCTTTGACAACAGGTTGACATGCAGATATCAAAGAGGAGAGAAAAAGCGTTACCAGTTCAACTACTGCTTCTGCATTTGCTGTTAAGGACACAGGAGCAGGTTAAAAGTCAGGCACCCCTAACTTTATGGAGCATTTGATCTAAAACTTCCAAAGGGAAAATAACCTGTCTTTCCTCTCGTCTTGTGTGTTAAATGGTGAGCGTACCTAACAAACAAAACGTACTAGATCAAGTCAGCTCCGGTGTGACATGCAGAATACTGTGGGTGGCATTTTGATAAATGGAGAGAAGTCTTAGTAGCAGGGTTTCTAAAATTCAGGCAGAATCTGTGTTCGAACTGACCTTTTTTCAGCATTGCTTATCAGCTTGTGTGTCAGTGTTCACTCTAAGGAACACTTTGGAATCTTGAAGAGGAGAGAAATATTTGCTTTCCAGGAAACATCTTTTTCTTCTCTTTCCAAGGGTTCTGGGTTTATGGTATTACAGGCTTTAAAGAAAAGAAGGTCTATTGGCAAGTAGCCATATCAAAATCCAATTTTCCATTACTGGGAACAGTAACAACATATGATTATACTTTTCAAGTTCCTCTGATGAATCTTACCTTGAGCAGTGGTAAGGAAGATGAGAGGGATTGGGTTAAATGGGTGCAGAGGGAAGAATGTATTCTAGCTAATGACAGGCAGAATCATGGGCAATCATAAACCACTTTCTGTAGCACTAAATGATAACAGTCATTTTGTGTAGCAAACCTACGTTGGTCCCAAACCTGAAGCCCAAGTAATTTGCAATAAAGCTTTAGAGAAGTTTCTACTGCTGGAAACTCTTGAGCATGAACCTTCAAAAGCATCCTGATGGGCTCTTTAAAAAGATATATAATGAAGATCCAAAATAGCTCTCCTTTTACATGTCGTGCTTTTATTAACAATGCCCTATTGAAAGATCACGTAATTTAATAAGAGGGAATTTAAAGCAAATCTATGAGCATAAACATGCTTATAAAAAATGCTCAGATTCACAGGAATTTGCTTGAGGTACCGAATGGCTAACGTGTTGGAAGCCAAATTATCATACTGTGGCAAATTATTGGCCATGTCTATTTAAGTTATACTCAGGAGAAGGGAATGGGGTAAAAGAGAGGATGTTCCTCCTGTTTCAACACCTATTGTTTTTCTTTTTAAACAAACGTTGCAGGTGTAAAGCAGGCCAAAGCATTGCGTGTATGGTGGTATGTTTTAACACACATGCCACGGTTTGTGTTGTAAGAGCACTTTTACTACTATGAGGAAATATGAGAGATTCCTGTTATAATTGCTTCTCAGCATGGAAAACAGTGTTGTTATTATGTTAATGAAGCAACAGACACCCAACAGAAACTACTGTTGGAGTCTTTATTTACCCCAGTGTTCAGCTATACAGCTCTGCTACCCCTACAATTGTAGAATTGTATCTGAAAACCTAACACGCTTGGTATGTGTGTTTGCTTGGTATGTATGATGCATTCTTGGTATATGTGTTTAGCACCAGAAGGGGGCAGAGAAGAGAGATGTGCTCAGGAAACCCAGATTAACCACATACATGTAATTTAATCTAAAATGTATGTGTACAGTTACTTTAAATTACCCATTGTGCCTCCCAAAATTTTCCCCCCACTGAATTTAGTTATTTTTGGCTTAAGACCTTAGGCCAGACTCATGGGTAGTAAATATGAAAGAGACCTAAACACACTGGCTTAACAGACAAGGCAAGCACATTATTGGGGTGTGATGAGTAGGTATCCATACCAGCTTGGTTTACTAGGTGCTACTTCAGATGTAGTGCCTGTTGCTTTAACAGGTCCATTCTCTCACTTCCTCTCATTATCCTCCACAACTATAGCAGGCTGTACTGTAGCTGTGGTTCACCACTGATGGAGAAGAAGACAAGCCCTGCTGCTATGGAGCTCTAAAAGCAAGCAACAAGTTGGTTGGAGTCAGGGCAGAGCTAGGAAGCCCACAATGGGATGCCTGGATTTCTCATATGGGTGCCAAAAGTTGGATCTCAGGTGTTGGTTTTTTGTTTTTGTTTTTAGTTTTCTTAATAGGTTTAGGCCACTTAAAATGTGGGGTTGCCAAATCCAGACCTTTTTTCCAATGAGCTCATGGTGGTGTACAAGGTTCTCCCCCTCTTCCAGGTGCCAGTCCAACTGTCACACCACACTGTTTTTCTCAGACTTCCTGGGTTTTTGTCCTACAGCTTCAGTGTAGTTATACACACATAATTTATTCAACTGGTTTGCAATCTCTTTATACTTATTTAGCACATCTTTAGTTCACTTGTCATCTGACTTCCTCCCAGCTGGATTTTCTACTTCTGGGGAACTTAAAGATTTTTTTTTTAATCCTTGTTCTTAATTTTCTTAGTGACAAGAGCCTCAAATTCTTTATTTCGTTTCCCACCCATCTTCATCCACTTCTTTTTTGTGTTTGTGTGTGCGCACGTGCCTGTTTGTGTCTCTTTTTGTTCTGATTTGTAGAAGAGACTCCCATTTTCTGAAGGAACCCTTCTTGCCCGTAGTAGTTTCCTTGCTTTAATATAAATATGCCCAGATTGTGTCAGAAGTAGGAGCTTGTGGATGTATATCACATTGAAACCAGTAGTATTAAGCTATCAGCAAATTCCCCTCTGCTATATTGTTTTGTTGAAAGATGCATATTTAAGCAGCAGAGACTGCACTGATTTTCAGCTGAGCAGGTTCAGGCATAGTTACAGGAATTCACCCAATAGCAGGTATGGTGATTTATTTGGCTGTGCTTTGGGGGATTTTCCTCTGTCTTGGTTAAATGTGACAACTGTTGTCAAAAATATAATCACAGGTCTTGCCTCTAACACTGAGCTGCAATAAACATGACTGTAAAATTTTTCGCCTGGCAGTGGGTCATTTATTTTATTTTTGAATAGCTATGCAAGTTCCAGTTTCAAAGCTGCTATGCTTAAGGCTTATTTAGCTCCTCTGTGGGGTGGTGACTGTTTGGGAAACTAATAAAAGATTAGGCTCCATTTGACAGCTTTGAACCACACAGAGGAAATTAGTGGAATTCATATTCCAATGAGAGATGGATTATTGCTTTGCCAGTTTCATGTTACGTGAAATGTACCTCTGCTTTTCTTGCCACCTAAGACCCCTTTTTTTGTATTCTAAACAGTATTAAGGCTTGGAGTTTTGTTTTTATGGCTCTCATTAATTTAACAGTTTTTCTAAAGACTGTGAAATCATGGGTCTCAAGGGGCATTTTTTAAATAGATGTCAGCTCCACTCATTTTTATAGTGTGGCTTGTTTCCTATACAGCACAGTCCTGCTTCTCTTCTCTCCTGCACCCAAGAGTGTGTGCAGATGAATGTGGCCTTGGAAGAAAGTTCCATGCTTCAAAGCAGGAAAGTGGACTAACAATGGCAATATGCTTGTATAATGGCACTCAAGTAAACAGACATTCAGGAGAATTCCATTTAGACTTAGGCATCAAATTAGGGGCATCTGTCATCATCATCCCCCCCCCCCCAAAAAATACTGTAGGCTCTATCAGCCATATAATCACTCAGGTGATCAGAGACAGATAATGATAGAATTGTAGAGTTGGAAGGGACCCCAAGGGTCATCTAGTCCAACCCCCTGCAATGCAGGAATCTCAGCTAAAGCATCCATGACAGATAGCCAGCCAACCTCTGCTTAAAAACCTCCAATGAAGGAGATGTAGAAATAAAACTCAAATATTTTCAAAATTCCAGGTTAAGTACTTAATTCGTTCCGGAGGTCTGTTCTTAACCTGAAACTGTTCTTAACCTGAAGCACTACTTTAGCTAATGGGGCCTCCTGCTACCGCCGCACCGCCAGAGCACGATTTCTGTTCTCATCCTGAAGCAAAGTTCTTAACCCGAGGTAATATTTCTGGGTTAGTAACCTGGCTGTATTTCTGGCTGTAACCTGAAGCGTATGTAACCCAAGGTACCACTGTACTGCAGTTAATATAAAGTTCTGAAAATTTGCAATTATGTTCCCTGTGAGACATATGGATAAATTCCACCCCCCCCCCAATGATGAAGGCATTCTCAATTATCTACTGTTACGGAATAAGCTATAACATGTGTACTACTGTACTGTAACTTAAGTGCAAGTCTGTTTTTTAACAGAGCAGCAGAATCTTGACGCTTCCCTCTTAACCCTGCTATTTTAAAGGGGTGAGGGATATGTGACTCTCCACATGTTGTTGGGACTTTCTTTCCCATCAACTCCAGCCACCTTGGGCAATAGTCATGGATGATGGGAGTTGAAGTCCAGCAACATATAGGGCCCCAGATTCCCCACCCCTGCTTTATTACAAAAGGTTTTGTAAACCCATGCCTCCACCATCCTAGGAATGGCACTGACAACTCTGAATGTTATGCAAGGCTCTCCTTCTTCACAGTCCTTTCCATTCTGCCTCACCCTCTAAAAGCCACTTTTATTGCATATTCAATGGGGCTTTGCATGAGTGCTTTGGGTAGCTGTATCTACATTGGGTCTCAGATTGTGTCTCAGATTGTTCTCCTGCATCAACACTGGGTCCCCTGTGCTGGTTTATGTGCACCATTACTTCAGAGCAGGATGGCATACTTGGACTCTAAAGTAAGGTTACCATTTGTCATTGAAGGATATGCATTTGAGGACTTTAAAGTGGATGGAGTCCCATTCCAGTTCCTTTCCAGCAAAAGCTTATTTTCATACAAAGGCTAATGTAGCTTGGTTTGATACCTTATTCATTTTCTGCTTGGGTCCAGAAGTGCCAAACTCAGTTTCTGTTATTTTACTTCCCAAAAGCCCAGACCAAATCCAAATGAATATAAAGTAAAACTAAAAAACATTTACAGTGGTACCTCAGGTTACAAACTTAATTCTTTCTAGAGGTCCATTCTTAACCCGAAACCGTTCTTAACCTGAGGCATGCTTTTGCTAATGGGGCCTCCCGCTGCTGCTACACCACCGCCATGCAATTTCCATTCTCATCCTGGGGCAAAGTTCTCAACCTGTGGTACTACTTCCGGGTTAGTGGAGTTTGTAACCCGAAGCATTTGTAACCCAAGGTACTACTGTACTGGTAGTTTTCAAGGAGTCAAATGCTGAGAAAAGTAGAAGAAAGCAGAACGTGAAAACTGGTCCTTTCCTATTATTACCTGATGCAGAAAACAAAGACAATAAACACATAGTATTCAACCACGGAAGAAAAAATAGAACATAGACTGTAATCCTGTGCACATTAGGCTGCTTTGATTCCATTGACGTAGGCAAGATGTAAACCAGGGGTCAGCAAACTTTTTCAGCAGGGGGCCGGTCCACTGTCCCTCAGACCTTGTGGCGGCCAGACTATATTTTGAAGGGAAAAAATGAACAAATTCCTATGCCCCACAAATAACCCAGAGATACATTTTAAATAAAAGCACACATTCTACTCATGTAAAAAGACCAGGCAGGCCCCACAAATAACCCAGAGATGCATTTTAAATAAAAGGACACATTCTACTCATGTAAAAACATGCTGATTCCCGGACTGTCCGTGGGCCGGATTTAGAAGGCGATTGGGCCAGCCCTGGCCCCGGGCCTTAGTTTGCCTACCCATGATGTAAACATTCCCACTGTGCATGAATGCAGTCATAGAAAGTTTTTTTTAAAAAAAAAAACCATTCACATTCAATTTGCACTGTAGGTTCCCCAATCCTACTCAATATCACTGTATTTCCGGTTGAGCCTACTTGTAATAGGGTTTTCATATCAATAGAGAGTTAACTTATTAAAAGCTATTGTAATCCCTGTTGCAAAGTCTTGAGCTTTGCAACGCCATGTGCAAGTTTTCAAGATTGGACATAGCAATAAAAAGGTGTAGCTTTAGAGGAGGAAGGCTGGCCAGCATGTGTGGAACAATATCTTCTAGGAGTCAGAGGCTCCTACTTCAAAACAAGAGATAATGCAGCACATATTTGGGAACTAAAGTTACAACTTGTCAGAAACGATTTAAAAAAGTTTCACATATGAGTACAGGACAGAAAATATTTTTCAGTTACTTGGGAAACTTCTCCTTCAGCTAGATTTGGTAAATATCAGACAAGCAAAATCCATGCCGAGAAATTTCAAGTTACATGTCTTATAGATTATAGACTTTAAGCAAATTATAAAAGTGTAAATTAGGTCATGGTTGGCTCAGACAGTTTATTTTAGTACACTAGTCCATAGTAATTGAATCCATTTAAAATAAATCTGCCTTGAAATATGATACTGTGAATGACAAAGCCATTTTAATAAATATAAAAAGTCAGGATCACTCTCTGTTCAGGTCAGTGGGGCAGAATGCCTTGCATCAGGACTGCCTGTGAACCAGAGGGTTTGGTAACTACTAGCCAAATTATTTCCATATGTGTGGTCTCAGTACCGTAAGGCAAAAATGTGACTTTAGACAATTAAAATGCTAAGTAACATGCATAACTGCTTGGCAGCATTGCCAAAGTATATCGCTAGTTGAATCTCTAATTGTTCACATTTAGGCAGAATATACATTACACCAGTAAAATGTTTTAGCAAGGAGACAAATCAAGATAATGTTATCTATTTGAGAGGAACCCCGCTGTCTGTTCCATCTGGAAAGCTTATCTCCCCTTTGATTTTTATTCTACTTGTATATATTGCCTCACATATTCATTCCTGTCATTCTTGCAGTCCTAATTTAACATTTGGGAATTTGTGGTTTACCAAAGTCCTAACCCAAGCAAATCTTCTAACTTTCAGTATCTTTCCTATAATGTACCTCTTGCCTTGACACTCTTTCAGCGATGCAATTAAGTAACTTTTGTGCAGAGAAAGTCATACAGCATGATCTTCTTACAGTGATATAAATTACAGAGATGGTGATTCTCAGCCCCTTTTTATGCTGTTGCAGTCCCATTGAATTAATGGCATTCCATCAATGCAAGTTATCGTAGGGCAAAACTAGACATAGTAATGCAGTTTGGTTGTGCAGAGCTGTTTTTTCTTCAGCTAGTAGCCAGCACAGTGGGACTGCGAAATAGCATGGTGCACTTTGGTTCTCTGCCCTTGTTGTCATTCTGATTGGAATTGACTGCTTTACCTCCTATTTGCAATGGAAGAAAAGTTCCAATTGATGCCCATTGTGAGTAGCAGGCATGGGATGGGGGTTGCAGGGGGACTGTGGTGAAGGCAAAGGGTTAAAGCCTTCACACACCCACACCCACACCACAATCTTGATCTGTCTTGAGGGTCCCATGTAGCATCTACTAGTTAAAGGGGGGGGGGGAACAGCTGCACAGAACTAAAGTATATTACAAACTTCACATCAGTTTGGCTTGTTTATCCCATTTTAGCAATAAGGTTATTCTTCCATTGATGGGAAGGCAGGAAATAGTGTCATAATATTATGTTGCTCCAATCATCCTGTTTGCCTCATATCATTGCTGTTTAATTTATGAGCTATTGCTCCGACAAGTTAGAAGTTAACATGTCAGGAAATGCACAGCCCTGAAAATTTATTGTGCTCCAACCAGACAAAAGCCACTTTCCAAAGCAAACTGAATTAAGACTCAGTGGCTCATTTATAACATTTTTGGGCGCTGTTCTCTTCCGTTGTGGGGTCGGGCAGGGGGGAGTATGTTTGTATTGGATTTTCAACAAATGCAAAATTATTGCCCAGCAGGGAGAAGCTAGTTGAAAAATACAAACAACTCAGAAGAAAGAGGTTCTTCAGGGTTAATAAAGAAGCTAGTGCACTAAAACACATTCAAAGAAGGAACTGGCTTCCTGTAAACTCCAGGAGTGTGCCACATTGGATAAAAATATTCAGTTTGGATAGGACTGGAGAGATTGCTCGTGTTTCTCCTGAAGTGTCTGTGACACGTAAGGCTGGCACTTAAAGGCACAGTTGTAGTTTTTGTTTTTGTTTTAACAGCCATATGATACCTAGAAATGTACCTGGTGAAGCTTTTGCTGGCATGGAGTTAAGAGGTGGGAAAAGCATCACTTAGCAAATTAAAGGCATTGACATGGGGCCAGAAAAAAAAAATGATGGCAGCTCTTATAAAAAGAAATAATGCAGTCCCTACTGACATCATGTCTAATTTACAACATTTGATAGCAGGATGTAGAGATGATGTGTGCTAAAGTTATGTGAGTAGTATTGCGTGTAAGCCAGCATAGTGCCAAAACATCCAAATTCGCAAATAGACCATGACCAGTCACATTCCCATGATGGCTATTATAAAGCTGATTTTATAATATTTACATACATTCTTCATTCCTAAGTACTTGGCTTCTTGCAGCTGGGACACTGCTTCCTTCGATCATACTGTAGGTGTAGAAATCTTGTACTATTACTGCATCTCACTTAACGTTGGGAGAAACACAAGTGCTTTTACTAGCTCCACCTGAAACAGTAAGGAATTGGGACGTTCAGGCCCTAATCTCAACTGCAGTGCTATTGATAACTGTGTAACAGCACTTCTCATCAGATGCTATAAGCCAGGGCTGGGGAACCTTTCAGCCTGCAGAAGTTGTTGGACTTCAATTCTTATCAGCTCTAGTCAGCATAGTCAGGGATGATGGGAGTTATATTGCTGCAAGTATCGGTGGAGGGTGGACAGAGGTTCCCCAGCTCTGCTCTTAACTTTTGCCACCATTCCCACTCATTGGATTGCATTTTACTGGGGGATTGCATTTTACTGGGGGCTGCTATTAATAATATGTCTGGTGATGCTTGTTTTCTTGTCGTATTTGCCATGCTTTGATTAGCAATCCAAAGAAATGAAACATTACCCAAAGAGACACACATCTTCTAATCAAGCGGTCAGCTCTTCTGGCAAACAGAGAGGCAACTTATGTGATTCCAAGCCTCTTCCCCTATGTTATTTCATTTTATTTATTTCTCTAAATATTTGCACCCTGCCTTTTGCCTCAGATGGGCCCCTAAGGCAATTTGTAATCCATTAAAAGCAAACAATAAAATGCAAAAGGACAATAACTAATAAAAAGTAGTAACTTCTAAAATTAGAACCAATGAAACACATCCTTGCAGGGGAACAGAAACTCAGCCCAGACTAAAGGTCTGGCAAAACAGAAGAATGATTTTGCAGCTTGCAAGGTACAGTCATTAAAGAATGGACCAATCTGGCCTCCTGGAGAGGGAGTTCCATTAATGGTAATTCAACTGAGAATGTTGTGTATTGTACTGTGTACTGTGGATTAGCTTAAACGCAGTGGGCCACAGGACAAGGCCTCTGGTGAAATATACAGTTTGTGAGCATGTTAATGTGGAAGAAGACAGTCCATCAAATAATCTGCCCCCAAATGGTTTAAAGACTTTGTATGTAATAATCAGCATTTCAAACTGGAGTCTAGAAATGACTTGGCAGACAGATTGAACAATGTTGCAGCCTTTAGTATTTTACTCTGGGATAAAGAATGACATTTATTGACGTGAATGTTCAGGAGAATACTTTTAGCTAATATAAAGAACTGTTGACATGTTTCCCTTGAAGAATAAGAAGTAATTACTCTTGAATGAGCTGAGTGATAAATTGCAGTTACCTTTCACACAGGTATGTGCCATGCTAAAGGCACAGAAGTGTGCCTGTTTTTAAAAAAGTTGGCAACTGGTGGTGTGAACTGTATTCCATAACAATATCACACCTAATTTACAACAGTTAATATAGCTTGGGGCTGAGATAAAGTGTGCTAATACTGTGTTTATGACAACAATGCAAAGCTGCATAGGCAAATCCACAAATATCTCACAGCCAGCGTGTAGACAAGATTATGATAGTAGACTTCAATGAATAGCAGTAGGGGATTTAAACAAAAAAACACACACCCCACCCTTACCCATCCAAAGCACATATGTTGGGGATGCACGCGCTTGCCCTATTCCCCTTCCATTGAAGCATCCTGTGCATACATTATCTGAGTGGCATGGAACCGCATGGAAGTAGCTCCCTTGCATAAGCGTGCATCAGTTCATGGTCCCCTCCCAAGAAGTGGTACAAGTGAAACCCAAAGGCACAATCACCTGGGAGGTTTGCACAATAAAGTTCTCCTGTGGAGGACCCAGTACGTAAGCAGAAGACCTTCCCTAGGTTGGGCTGTGAGGTGCATTTATTGTGTTGCTTCCATTCCTGTACTTCATTGCAAAATGAACCTGTTAGCCGTACATTGTTGATCAATCAGTTAAGGATGGCATGCCATGCAGAGAGTGTATGAATGTGATTTTGCTTTAGGGGAAGTGCTTCTCAGATCTCCTCTTCCAATTTTCCTCCACAAAACAGCAGCCCAGACATGTAGTCATTTTCCTGAGGCCTGATCCAAAAGCCATCAAAATTAAGATTTCCCCTCTGTGTATTGTTTGAAGTTACTGGCTTAGGAAGGGGGTGGGCCTGTGTACTGTTACCAAGATGAAGCAGTAAAATTTTCCAGTAGTGTATGTCTAACAAGTTTGTATCGCTGAGCTAGTCCAAAACAGAGATACTCCCTTCCCATGTTGCTTTTCCTTTCTCCATTAGCTGCTTCCTTCCAGTTTTCCATTCCATTCTATGGCAATCTTCTTCTTCACCTATGTCATACACCCTTGTTTCTCTTACTGTTTTCTCATTCCAGAAATCCTGTTCCATTGAGAATAAATCATGAGTCACAAGAGAGAAAAGTTCTCTTCCAGTAGTCTTTGTGGCAAGCAATGTGAGGCTTAAGGTTATTTTACTTGCTTTTTTGTTGCTATGTTATTCCTAAAGTATTTTAACTTTTTTCCACTCAATACTGCAGAGATGTATAACTCTGCAGAGGACAATGAAAGCTGCTATGTTTTGCACTAGGTTTCAGTGCTGGACTATTATTTATTTATTTATATATACATACATACATACATACATACCCTGCCCATAGCCACTCTGGGCGGCTCCTAACCGAATATTAAAAACACAATACAGCATTAAACATTAAAAGCTTCCCTAAACAAGGCTGCCTTCAGATGTCTTTTAAAAGTAAGATAGTTGCTTATTTCCTTGACATCTGATGGGAGGGTGTTCCACAGGGCAGGTGCCATTACCGAGAAGGCCCTCTGCCTGGTTCCCTGTAACCTCGCTTCATCGCACACCTTGCAGTGGCCACCAATTGTCTGCTTGCTCGCCATCACCAACAGTCCACCCGCCCACTTGCTGCAGCCGCCAATCATCTACCCGCCTCACCACAGCCGCCAATCGCCTGCTCAATTGCCACAGCCACAGCCAATCGTCAGCAGGCCTTACTGCAGCCACCAATCACCCACCAATCGCCGCTGCCAATCTCCTGCTTGCTGCTGCCATTAATTGCACAATCCCCCCCTCTGTCTTATACACAGAAAAATACAGTATGTTCTATAAATACTCAACAAAAGTATCTTACTGCTTCCCAAATCCAACTCCCTCCAACTTTGGCTGCTCTTGACAATGCTTTCCTTCTTTTTCATCTCAGGCATTAGTATTAGTATTTTGAGTCCTATAAAATATAGGCAGGTTTTACTAAAACATATGAAAATTTAAGCCACAAAAGTATGTAAGGAAAGAGTATTCCATTTACAAGCTGCTGATCTAGCCTGTATTATCAGAGCTGTATCTCAGTAGGACCTTAGTTTCTTCCAAAAATAGAAGTCAGCTTGTGATAGGAGTTAAGTGATGCCATTGTGCTCCTTCCTTTAGGGCTGTCAAAATTATTTCAAGCTGGTTATAATGTCTGTGTGTTTATAATCTCCAGCCCCCTCCATATCAACTGCTTCCTAGTTTCTCACTGATTTACAAAAGTACGTGAGTTTAAATAGCAAAATACATGTAATGGCCAAGCTTTTCTGTTATAAACAAGGCAATCTGGAAAATATTAATTTAAAAAATAAAGTAAAAATCAGTTGTCAGTCTTCAGGTATCATCAACCTGTCCTTTCCCCTTCAGCAGTGAATGTCTAATCACTCTCTGTAGGACACTGATAATAGTGTGAGCAGGATTTCTTCCCTGCCTCAGTTGGAACGTGCATCTTATCTTGTGCTATCGCAAGTCTTGTGTCAGTAATACAATGCCTTGGAACATATTTTGTTTTTCCTGAACTAATTACAGGAACTGAGGAGTCTAAAAAAGAAACAATTTTCACTCTCCCACCCCACCCAAGACGTGTCATAATCGGAATGGAAATTGCCCTCCCCAGTGTAACTAAGGACCTTAGAAAAACGTTCCCGTTGGCGCCAATGGGACTTGTCCCCATCAAAGCTCCTAGTCACATAGGGGTAGGGTTGGGGGCAGAGGGCAACTCCATTCTGATAGCTGTTGGAAAGCGAAGTGCTGACATCAGGCGGATAAGACCTGGAATCAACTCCCTGATCAGCCCTTAAACTGACCACATGGCATTGAATATGGCATATCTGTCTCTCTCATCCCAGAAGTCTTAACAAGAGGGAATCAAAGTGCCATTTTGTACCCGTGTTGACTTACTCTCTTTGCATTCTCCCTCACACACCCCTCAGCCTAATTTACCACACAGTGTCTTTGAGGGGGGAAATGGAATACATGCTGCCCTGAGCTCCTTAAAGGTGCCCTTCATACAGTACATATAATGTGTAATCTGAAACCTTTAAATGCTAATATTGTGCTTTTGCAGAATTAATTTGGGGGTCGTGTGTGTGCCTGTGTGTCTATTCACACAGCATGAACCACTTTTAGTGTTTTTTTGAATTCTGACAAGTCCATATATAATGGAGGAATTGGCATAAGATCATGACTGTTCAGTTATATATCTTGAACCAATTATTCCAGATTAGTGAGGGAAGTTTGTTTTAATGCCTTATTAAATATTCCTTAAAGTGCATATAAAATGACCAGACAAGAGGAAAAATGTTTATGAAGCTTTTACAGTGAATAGCCATGGCAATATAATGATACCAGACTGTAACCATGACCATCTGTTTTGCTGTCTAATTAATACTGACTTGTAGTAGATTGGAATATGGATTTTCCATCAGGCTTTGCCTAATTGCTGCTCTGCAGCTACATCACTGCGCATTGTGCTGACATTCTATGTTTGTGCACATCCTCACTGTAAACATGGCCTGCAGGTTCCGAGTCCTGATCTTTCCCCTACACATTCACCTATATTTAGTGGAAGGTATAACAGTGCACCCATGGGATGCAGGTGGTGCTGAGTTCTAAACCACTGAGCCTCTTGGGCTTGCCAGTCAGAAGGTCAGTGGTTCAAATCCCCGCAACGGGGTGAGCTCCCGTTGCTCAGTCCCAACTCCTGCCAACCTAGCAGTTAGAAAGAACACCAAAATTGCAAGTGGATAAATAGGTACCGCTCCGGTGGGAAGGTAAGCGGCATTTCCGTGCACTGCTCTGGTTGTGCCAGAAGCAGCTTAAGTCATGCTGGCCACACGACCCGGAAAAACTCTCTGCGGACAAACGCCAGCTCCCTTGGCCTGTAAAGTGAGATGAGCGCTGCAACCCCAGAGTCATTCGCGACTCAATTTAACTGTCAGGGGTCCTTTACCTTTTTATAACAGTGCAAGGATTACATGTAGTGCTGGCCCAAGACATTTTGCTGCCTGAAGTGGAGCAAAAATCTCCTTAATCCTACTAGGGCCAAACACTTTAGTATCACAGCAGGGCAGGACCAGTGCTGGTTTTTATAAATTGTTTCAGAATTTATCAGAATTCAGAAAATATTTGAATATAAAACATAGGTAATAAAATAGTAGTAAAACATATAAATCAACAAGAATTAAAAACTATCTAATTTGAGAAGGCTTCTGAGAAAAGAAAAGTTTTCAACAGATATTGAAAACACTAACCAATATTGGGGTTGCTTCACTTTTGAAGAAAGGGAATTACAGAGAGCAGGTGCCACAGTGCTAAGGTCACATCATGCCTTACTGCAAAGGTGTATGTCACCATCAACAGATGCTCCTCCACAAATGTAAATGACTGGGGCAGTTTCTCAGATTCTGTTGTTCAGAATTGCACAGGGCTTTATGCACCGGTAGTATAACCTTGAACCTCGCTTAGTAGCAGATTGGCAGCCAGTGCATCACTATCAACAGAAGTGTCACATGTTCCTGATAAGATGCCCCAGAGAGCAACCATGCAGCAGTATTTTGTACTATCTGCAGCTTCCCAATCAAATGCAAGTGCAGACAAAAGATGGTATTTCTTCACACAGTGCATTGTTAAACTGTGGAATTTGCTCCCACAGGAGACAGTGAGAGCCACCAACTTGGATGACTTTAACAGAAGATTAGACAATTTCACGGAGGATCAGGCTATCAGTGTTTTCTAGCCATGATGGCTATGCTGCCCTGTGGCACCCTACAAAACAACTCCCAGCAGGCCAAAGGGCAATTGCCCATGCCCTCGAATCAGTCCTGTAGGTAGGAGCAGCAGAGCCAGTGCAACACAGTATTCTGCACTCCCATCTCACAGAGTCAATCCAGTAGGATACTGTGGTCAATGGTATCAAAGGTCACTGAGAGATCAACAGGGTCACACTCCCCCATCTCTCTCCCTGTATATATGTACAGGCCTGAATTCAGATTGAAATGAATCTAGAAAATCAGTCTCATCCAAGAGTGCCTGCAGCTATGCCTTGACCACCCTCTATGATACCTTTCCCCAGAAAAGGTGTATCAGCACCTGGGTGGCACTTGTGAAGAACCCCAAAAGGGCATTTCACCATAGATATTATGAACGGATAAAAAGGAAAACCACTCAAAGAGTAATGAAATTAATGCTGTATTTATGTTTGACTATAAAATGTTTGAAATCTGGCCCATACTTCTAGAAAAGGTAGATTTTCACTTGCTGTGCAGGCAAATACCTGTAGATGCTTTGTTTTCGTTATCAAATCCACTCAAATATTTATTGCATCAAATTTCTAGTTATTCCCATCCTCCCCCACAATTTACCCCAGGACAATAAGATTATCATCATAATTAAATATTTGCATATTATTATTTGCCTGGCTCAGGAAGCAGGATCGGTTTCCAGCTCATGCTCTTAGTCAGAAAATAAGCAACTTAATTTGTTTTGTTTTACCATCACAGCTCTTTTAATAAGAAAAATACCACCATGGTTCCCTCCACAACCCCTTTGAGGTTCTGATCCAACTAAAACAAGTCACTTCTAAAATCCAATGAAAACATTTAAACTAAGTTTTTTCCCAACGAAATTTTCCCATTGTTTCGAATGGGACATGCAGCACAGTCCTGCACATGTTTACTCAGAAGTAAGCTCCATTGTGTTTAGTGGGCCTTACTCCTAGGTAAGTATGTATAGGATTGCAGTCTTAGTCACATGCAGACTTACTCAGAAGCCCCACAGTGCTCAGTTTCATCAAATATGAGTTAATCGTAAACTCATATTTGTATAGAACTTTCAAGTGCAACCCAAAATGGTACATACCCTCTGCCTACCTGTCCTTTGTTCTCTGCCACGTCGACTATTTATATTTAGCTCCTGATCCAGTATGAAACTCAGCACCTCTCAGGAATGGCAAGAACTTGCTAAATTCCTCCATCACCAATCTCTGATGATAGATTTGGGTTTTCTTTACAATATAAGATACTTCATCTCATACAGAGTAAAAACAGAAGAGCCCTCCTGGATCATTGTGAATAGAAAAGTTTTTGCTGTGCACAGTTAATTGATGAATCAGCAGGTATATTGCCATCCATCTGTCTGCAGACTGCCAGCAAGTGATCTACAAACAGTTTGTTGAGTTGTGAAACACATTTGCTCATCGCAAGCATTGGCAGACAAGCTTGACATCACTGATTATCAGAATGACATTTAAATGCTTTTTTTAAAAAATAAAAATAAAAACTACTATAGAAACATGAGTACAACAACACACTATGTTTTAGCTGCCTTTGAAAAGCAATTGAAAACTCCAACTGTCCTAGAATGTGGCCGCCAAGTTAAGAAATGAACCTAGCCACTTACAAGCAATACTGGCTGAAGGTTAGTTTATAGTAGGAGTGTGCATCAGACCCAGACAAGCCCTGAATCCCAAATTGAAGTGGGACATTTTAGACAGATTTGAGGGTTGGCCAAAGCAGGGTGTCTCTGAAGTGCCCCAACTGAAGCAGAGCTCTACAAAGTAGTTCGGGACCATTTGGCTTTGGGGACCTTTAAAAAACTGTAAAGATAGGCTTAACTTTTTGCAGACACACTTTCATCCCGTGAAAGTAGGGGTGACTTTTATGTCAGGCTGGAGGGACGGGAGTTGGAGAACTCTTTTGTGATTAACAGCTTCTAATCAGAGGAAATGATTGTACCAAGTCTCTTCCACCAGTATTTTGGCACAGTAATATATCACCATGTTCTTTTTCCCATGCTGATGAGGAACCATTATTGAGTACTTTTTGGGTTTGGTCAGTCAACCAGCTACAAAGCCACCTAAGAGTTACCTTGTTCAACCTACATTTTACCAATAATATGATGGGACTTTGTCAAGAGGCTTACTAAAATCAAAAGGCTTACTGAAATCCACAGCATTTCCCTGATCCACCAAGTTTGTAATTCCATCAGAATATAACTCAGAGTGGACTGACCTTGAACAGTAGCCACAGAACATTGACTATCAGTTGGGAAACAGAAGTGGAGGACGGGGATAGGAGTATCCCATATGTAAGAGTGTGACTGACTAGAACCCTGAAAAGGAGTTCTCAGTACTGCATTGATTTGTTACAGGGTTCTATTTGTGTAGTTGCGATACTCTTTCTTGCATTACATATGGCATCATATCAGCATGTGAGGCATTTCCTACATGTTTAATTGTGGTCTGTCTAGATAAACTGCATACTTTACATCAAAGCACGAAACCATGTAAAAGTAAAGCTGTTACTATACAGAGGGAAGCAAAAAAAAAAAAAAGATTATTTAATTATGCATCAGCTTCCTTCAGCCTAAATGCCTGGAGCAAAGTAAGTGAATCATACATATCACTTTTGCTCTGCTGGCAGCACATTTGATGTGATAGCTTAGAGTCACTTTGCATTGAGCAAAAGTGGGAGTTCCCTCTGCTCAGCAGAAAGTGTTAGCTATAAAACTTTAGAGTAATATAATTTGGAGTCTATTACTTTTATTTATTTCATTCCTGGTTACGCCAAATAGCAACTTGTCCTTGCTATGATATTGTTGATAGGAATGTGAGCACGTATCTGCCTTAAAATAGAGTAAGTAAATTGTGTAATATGTAAACCTGGCTACCATGATCAAAGACAATAAGGGATAGTACACAACTGTATCCACAAATAAAGTGGACTTTTATTTATGCATCTCCCAGATATTTGCCAGAAAGTTGGGGGACTCTCTGGAGTAGATTGGAGGGCACGAGGATTCCATGGAAGAATGAATGGGGAAGTCTGCTCACATGACATTGGATATCACCTATGGGTTTCCAAGAAGCATACCAGCATGTTTTGAGAAAGCAGAAAGCAGAGCTATATCATATTGTTTCTACCTGTGGTCATAGGTTTGTCACAGTAACCCTAAGTGGTCTCTTGACATAGAACTGAAAACCTTTCCCTAGCTTATTTCAATTTGGGACTGTGACTTTTGTAGGTTATTTATGTTCTCAGGGACATAAGATGGACACAGTTGTTGAATTTTTAAAACATTGCATTTTGTTACTTAGAAATTTCCACTATTCATAGGAGTTCTTTTTCATGCTAGCTGGATATTAGGACTATTGCCATTGACAACACTGTTGTTTCAATATAAGTAAATAGGTAGTTTCCCCCAGAGTTAATGATATCACATTGAGGGATGTGATATCATTAACTCTGGGCACACAATGAATTACAAGTAGTACTCTGTACTATTAAAGCTCTGCATCTGAGCAATGCTATTAATGATGTCAAATCCTGCAGTATTTCCTGCCCATCATGTGGACCTTAACCGTTAGTAGGAAGAGTTCCAGGCTTCCCTGTAGATTAGTATGAACATATCTCAGGCTCTGACTTCTGGCCAGAGCCTAGTTCAGTTTGAAAGTATACAAGTCCTTCTTTCCAAACAAAGTAAATGGTAACATCAGCTACTATCTGGCCAGCCTGCACTCTGAATTCAAAGAAGAGTGTTTTCTATGAGGTGGAGCTTGGTTGTGTTCAGAGCCTCTTTTTGCAATGCAGCTGTGTGACATAATAGCATCTCGGGACATGTCTGCAAAGTAATTTCATTGCAAAGTGATTTGGAAAGAGGACAAAGCTGAGACTGGGAATAGGCAGGTAGCTTCTTTCTCATTCCATAAGCATGAATGCTGCCTTGCAAACTTCTTGACCTTATCCTATGATCCACCCAAATCTCCTATCTTTGATATGCACAGACAAGAACAAGCTGAAGTCTTCTGTGATTGTGGACTATGGTATCTGATGCACATTGGATAACCTTCAAAACTATTGTGCAGATGCATCTTTAGTCAGATTGTTGTTTTTTCTATTCTCTTTCATAGAACCATAATCAAAGATGGAAGAGACCTCAAAGATCATGTAGTCCAATTCCCCCACTGATGCAAGACACTCACTACTACAGCATTGCTGGTAGGTGGTCATCCAGGCTCTGCTTTAAAAAACAACAACTATAACAAAGGAGAGTCTACCACCTTCTGAGGCAGCCTGTTCCACTGTCAGTCAGCTTGTGCCACCAGGAAGTTTTCCCTAATCTTTACTCTAAATACTTTTGCTTGTCGTTTGAATCCATTGGTTCATGTCCCACCATCTGAAGCAACTGAAAACACATTAGCTCCATCATCTGTGGAAGTTTCTGCAGGTCATGAAGGGCAGAGAGAAAAACACTAGTTACACAATTTGATTTCAGGACAGACTAGCACTTATTACAGTGGTGCCTCGCAAGACGAAATTAATCCGTTCCGCGAGTGTCTTCGTCTAGCAGTTTTTTCGTCTTGCGAAGCAACCCTATTAGCGGCTTAACGGATTAGCGCTATTAGCGGTTTAGCGGTTATTAAAGGGCTTAAAGGCTTAGCGGATTAGCTGCTAAAAGGCTATTAAAGGCTTAGCAGCTTAGATAAATGGGGGGGAAAGCAAAAAAAATAATCTCAAGACTCGCAAGACATTTTCGTCTTGCGAAGCAAGCCCATAGGGAAATTCGTCTTGCGAAGCAACTCAAAAACGGAAAACCCTTTCGTCTAGCGGGTTTTCCGTCTTGCGAGGCATTCGTCTTGCGGGGCACCACTGTAACTGGGAAATATTTGTTTAGGTTCTGTGGAATGTGACTGCTTTTTCAGTTCTGTGTTAAAAGACTATTTAGGTAGATACATCCTGTGTTAGTATTTGTAACACATAAATAACACTACATATTAGCAGGAACCTTAATGTGACCTCTCCTCTCAAATGATTCTTTGCAAGTTCATTTGCAAACTATATTCTGTCAAATCACTTTCCATTTTGAAAGGCCTGAACATAGGCCAGATAAAGCCAGAACTAAAAAGATCCCTGTCTTGTGGGAAGTGTTTGGCTTTATTTGCCCCTTCTCAGGCCTAAGACTACAACCCATAGCTACTTTCCCTCCCTCTGATTAGTACAGCATGCTAAACAACTGAATAGCAGAGATAAAAACCTCTGCTGAGCAGTGCACAAGATTCCAGGGGTCTTGGTACTTAACTAGGGTTTATGTTTCCTTCAGAAATGAGGCACAATGGATACTATAGTGGTTTGTTTACACTATATGGTTTATTTACACATCTCTATAACCTGAGCCTACTTATGGAAGAAGGTCAGTACATCAATATTCCAAGAAGTTTCTGTCCCTCTCATAAGCACAGCATTGCTTTCAAGAACAGATATCAACATCTCTCTCTCCAGCATACTGCTTATTACCATCAACCTACCTTTTCTAAAACTATGGTATTGTCTTTTAAACTCTCAGTTGAAGGAGGTAGGCTTCTTAACAGATCATTAGGAAATTAGCTTTTACATGTGTTGATGGCCTAGGATTAAACAGGGTAGCTGATACACCATTTAGGAAGGTGTTCTGGGTTAAATAACTCTTCACATATGCCAATTCCATGGGATTAACATTGACTAATGCAAATCTAGAATATGCATTTTAGCACCTATAAATCTATTATTATTATTATTATTATTATTATTATTATTATTATTAGAATTTATATACCACCCTTCATCCAAGGACCACAGGGCAGTTTACACCATATAAATCTATAACTATATTGTAGCTAAAATGGGGTATATGATTGAGAGAAGGAGAATAAGGGACTGTACTGTTGTAATAATCTGAAAACCCTTTTAGAAGTCATCTGAAGGCAGCCCTGTTTAGGGAAGCTTTTAATGTTTAACAGACCACTATATTTTAATATTTTGTTGGAAGCTGCCTAGAGTGGCTGGGGAAACCCAGCCAGATGAGCGGGGTATAAATGAATTATTATTATTATTATTATTATTATTATTATTATTATTATTATTGAATATCCTTGTTCTACTACAAGACAGTGAGGGAAGGTGTCAGCCAATGACTAGGAAAAAGCTACTCCAGAAGCCCATAGCTTCCACTTCCCTTTTTAATTGTTATCCATCCATCCCCTTTTCATTAGTGTATTCCATGGGCAAGAAAACTGACTTTGTTGTGAGGTCTATAACAGCTGCCTTCCCTCCAGAAAATAAGAACGCCCACTCTCCCCTGTTCTCCATTTTCTCTCCCAGGAACTGAGAAGGTCCTGTCAAAACATGGATTATATTCAAGCCTTTCTCTCCTTAGCTTCCTTCCTTGCTTCACCCCTCTTTGGGAGTCATGAACCAGGCAACAGCGGATGGCCTGTTCTGGGCTTGTCACCTTCACACTGAATCCAGTGTAGAAGGAAAGGTATTTCTGGCTTGATTGGGCTCCCTCTTGGTTTCTGATTAGACTTTAGCTAACACAGCTGGAAGCCTTTGTGAATGAACTAACTGTGTTGGAGAAACAAAGAGGTTCTCCTGGGCTATGTCATGACCTCACAATAGAGTAGTTAGCACTTACATAATGCCATCTTTTTGCAGCAGGGAAGGGTACACATTTGTGCTTGGCTGTTTCACAGAGAAAGTAATAAGCATGGTATGCGTAAGATAAAGGTCCTCCAAAGTAACTAGGAGGATGCAGGAAATGGTCCAGAATGGGGACCTTAGGTGATGGAGGTAACCCACTCATAACATGCTTGTTTGTTTTCACTGTGTTTTCCATTGTGAAATTGCTGCAGGTTTAGATTGGGTTGTATACATATAGGTAGAAATCCAGCATTTGACTTTTCCTTGTCTTATGGAACATTTCAGAAGTGGAAATCAGCAAAGCCCCACAATGAATGCACTGTGTGGCTGAGAGGGGGTGGGTCTCCATACACACTGCTCAGGCTTGCACCTCAGGGAGGTCACTTCAATGCTCCTAATGCAGCAATGTGACTTCACCCCTGGAGGTGTACTCCAGTGTACTCAAGATAGACAGATGCCAGAAACAACATGTACTTTTAGTTGAGATTCCTGCATTTTATGGGGTTGGAGTAGATGACCCTTTGGGGTCCCTTCCAGCTGTACAATTTTATGATTCTGTGATTCCTAGACTGAACACAACTAGTTCTAAACTTCTGTGCCAATCTTAGAAAGTGAATGGAATGTTTTGGACTTATGAGTATCTTCTTCCTCTTCTTCTTCTTCTTCTTCTTCTTCTTCTTCTTCTACAGCATCTCACTTCCATTTTTGGATATACACCACTTCAAGTTCTCTCCAGCATTCTCTTTTCTTTGCTTCCTGTGAGTAGATTAGCACCTGCATATGGCTTAAGTATTTAAATGGGGCAATACACGCAAATATTCACATTTATTGTAGCTTTAAGTCAACAAGATAAAGTAGAAATTTCAATATTTGCTTAATATGAAAGTGTCCCATACATACAATTTTAACTGTTGAGTGACTGTGGGATTTTAACTCTACTGTATGTCATATCTGAATGAACATTCAAATCTGATGTTTCCCAATAGTGACTTATGAGTGCTCAGTTATTTACCATATACAATTAAAAGTTGAGCATATAGACAAATAAGAGGATTGTTTGAGGTCATTATTTATCATCTTATATTTGGAGGAATGTATCGACTAAAATATGTGGCTGCAGGTTATACAACAGGGTGAAGTCAGGACCTGCTAAATTAATCCTTCAGCAATTATAATTTACAATAAAATAGCTACCCTTGATTGCACACTCTAAAACTGGTGCGCCATTTTAAAATATGTGACAAAGGCCTAACCCAAAGTATTCATTGCCCAGAGTAAATGCTACTGAGATTTGGATCTCTTTATCTGTTTGATGTACACAGTGAGTAAAATGTAAAGTAACATGTAATTCAAGCTTTCATTAGATTTTCCTTGTTACCTTTTTTCCAACACAGCAAGTGTATTTCAGAGTTGTAACATGAGGCAACAAAGAAAGAATTCATTTAGTAGAAAAAGCAACCCCCTCATATGGGTAACAGACCTCTCTCATTTAAAAACAGGAAAGAATCTCCTTGAAGTAACCAAACAAAAGAGGGAATGCCTCTACTATGAAGGAGACATACTGTTTGTCGTGAAGTTAGGTTTTGGAGTTTTCTTCTTGATCACCACGATTCATTGTCACTATATGGTGCATGCTGGGTTGAGTGAGTTTGTACATACCTCTCAACTAATGTGAGTCTTTGAAATGAAAATTAGTGTCAAAGCAGTAATATTTTTCCAATGAACTTTTTCCAAAAAAAACTTACAAAGAGTGTGTGTGTGCACGTGTGTGCATGCCCCAGGAACATGGGGTTGAGGATGAAAGTTGGGGTGCAAAAGGGGTTGCAGAATAGGAGGTGGTTGTGACTTCATAATTGGCCAGAAGGTAAAAAGGGTGCTTAGTAGTCACGTTGTTTAAGAGGAAGAAAGTGGGCATTATAAAACTTGCCATGCCTGAGCCTACAGCTACTCAAGTCAGTGCCTCCAGTTTTCCTGTAAGAGAAAGCTGGCAACAAGGAGGGAAAAGCCTTCTATGTGGAAAGGGGTGATTTGTGTTCAAGAGAATACTTTAAAAGGAAAAAAATAGACCTCTTCAGACAATTTCAATAATAGGTAGTTCCTGTCTGTAGCCTGCAGGCTTTTATAACCATGTGATTAAATATTTTAATTTAATTTAACTCATTCCCTGCAAGTTAAAATAATTGTATAATTAAAAAAAATTTATATGGTCATAGAAGGAGCCTGATTAGAAATAATACCCATGTTACCACAACCTCAGCTCCACCCTGATGATTCATTGCCCTCACCTTTTTGAACTGAGTGGCTTTTGTCCATGTGCGATAATAGTTCAGTGACTCCTTAGCCTCAGTACATATTCCAGGGTATCCAGCTGCTCAAATCCTTGCTAACTAGTATTGCCAGTTTCCACATGGAAGAAACTCCTGTTTAAAATGCTCCATAATATATTGTGATATATTTCATAATTTTGGAGTTGTCCATTAGTATTTATTTTATTGTGGGCACATTCTCATGCAAAGGCAGGATGTAAACTTAAGAAATAAATGAGGACAAGGCATGTTATCAGATTTGACGTTCCTCACCACAGCAGCAAGTTATCCAGGCAGTTTAAAAATGGGATATAGTTAGAAGTATTCTTTTTAGCCCTGCACAGATATGGGTGAATACAGAAACATAATGATTTAATGCACAGGTGGGAAACCTGTGGCTCCATATTCTGATGGACTACAACTCCCATTATACCTCTCTCTTGGCCCTGCTAGTTGGGGCTGGTGGAAGCTGGAGTTCAGCAACATGTCTTAGAACATGCATGCTTGTCTGAATAAGACACTGTAGAGCAGCCTGAAGCTCCTTCATCCCTGGATCTGATTTGATCACTCTTCCCATGTTTTCTCTAGATGACCTATCGCTCCTTTAGGATGCTGTAGTGTAATGCTGCAGCTTTTGCTTATTCAGTTTGACCTTAAGTGACCTCCTCAGGCAGCACACATTTTGATGACCCTCACTTTCAGGCCAGCCCACATGGTTCTTGACCTAAACTGACTTTTGACCATGTGTCCTGCAGTGCCTTGTCTGTACTGGGGTCAGAATGGCTGATAAACCTCTCAGTTCAACCTACTGCTCAGGCGATCATAAAATCCATGCATTTTCCACTAGTATATTATGGCACCAAGTGATTTATTTTAAATATTGGAGGAGATACTTACACAGGGCAGATTGCAACAAATCTTGCAGTCACAGAGAGAACAACTCTCATTACAAGAGATACAGACTTAATCTGGCCTGAGGATACATTGGTATAGTTGAATCATGTCTTTTTAATTCGCTTTTTAAAAAAATCAAGGTATTTTTGAACTTTTACCAAAGCTTAAATGCTCCCAGCAATGCAAAATACTAGTTATCTAGACTGAATCATCTTCCGAACTAGTTTTGCAAGCAGATTGTTTGTGTTTGTTTTCATGCCTTTCATATGCTTACTCCATGTGCTTGTGACCATACAGCTATCTGGAATCCAGAACAGAAGAATTGTTTGTCTCTCTGTTTCCTTTACTGCTATGTGGTTGCCAAAACTACCTGGCTCCGTGCCCAGCTCCTTAGATTTACCCTATCCCTCCAGTACTGCAGGTGCATTTCTCTTCTTGCCTGAAGAATTGTACACAAGCCCTCTGCTCTTAGTGCAAGGAGGCATTTTCTGCAGGTCTGGAATGTGGCCATTAACTCATTCCCTTTCACTGTTTTGATAGGCCCCCTGGCATGCTGGGCCTTAACAGTGCTAATTTTAGAACTGTTTGTTCTGCGGAGGTCATTTTTGTCTTGGGTATCGAATTTGGATTGCACTATCTCTTCTGTCAGAGTAGTTCAGCAGTGGCTGTGTCACCCTGTTAGCACTTGGGATTGTCAAAGACAACTGCTTGCCCCTGTGGCAGACTATTAACAGAATGGTAGTGCCCTAGAGGTGATGGGGTGTCAAATACAGTTGCTGGTCATTAGAAATGTGTATACTCTTTTTATCTATCTAGCGCTCTCTCTGTCTCTCTCTCTCTGCGTGTGCGTGTGTGCGCGTGTTGTGTGACCATAAAATTTAGAAACATTATTAATGGGTATTGGAAGCCTGTCTTTGTTTCTTAGCGGCACTGTTTCACAGTGCTGGGGTTTCCAGAATCAACATTCTCCTTTTTTACTGCTCACTTTTATGAGATTCCCCTTAAGGCTGATTCTCTTTACCATCATTTTCTCACCAGATGAACTTGGCTTCCAATGCCACCAAAGTCCCAGCAATGCTTGGAGCCTGATTTTCAATATGATTCTCAGAAACAGAGCATACTGTCTGCCAATCAGGTCACCCGCTATTCTTGCTATAGAGTCTGTCTGGGCTGGGTGCTGGAAATGTAGAGGCGGAATGCTTAATATCTTAATTATCCACACCCAGCAATCTGTAAAGCAGAAAAATGCACCCGCCCTTGCTGCTGTGCTGTGTTGTTCTAAATAAATAACACATTCTTGTAGAAACACTTTACAGCAGTGGCACTTGGACCACCTTGGTAAAAGAGCAGCGTGCTGCATAGCTCAGCACATATATAGCTATGTGCATCTTTAGCTGTACAGCTAAGCACAAGAGGGACTACAGAATATATGACCATAAATTTAAATTCATTGTTGCCCTATAAACCTTAGAAGGAAGGAATGTGGTTTTATCTCATTTCAGAGCAAAGATAAAGTAGATATTAAGACAGAGTCACGTGATGCTGTTTACTAGATGAACAGAGATACAACTGCCAACTAAGGCTGCAATCCTTATCTCACTTACCTGGGAGTAAGCCCTGTTGAAATCAGTAAGACTTACTTCTGAGTAAGAGTGGTTAGGATTGTGCTGTAGGTGACTCATTCAGGCCTTTGAATTTTACCCCTATAATTTATGCACCCTGTACAAATGCTTTGATTTTGGCCTATATATTTGCAACATTCCAGCTACTATGCATAGAAGAGATATTTCCGGAGAGGTGACCTTGCTAGTCCATTGCAGCCAGCAAAAATTGCAAGAGTCTGTTACTGTCAGTGTTTCCACACTTAAACTTTAAACTATTGACCCAGTTTGCATGTTATACTAAGGCGAGCCATGGTCTAGAGCAGGGGTCTGCAACCTTTAAGACAAAAAGAGCCACTTGGACCCGTTTCCGAAGAAAAAAAACCTGGGAGCCGCAGAACTAACGCACGCACCGCCCCCATGCGACTTCACAGCCAGTACAGCGCCCGCCACAGTGGGGAGTGTCAGGGTGCACAATGCGCCTCCTCCCCTCGCTAGTATCCACCCCGGAGCCGCGGCAAAGGTGTAAAAGAGCCACATGCGGCTCCGGAGCCGCGGGTTGCAGACCCCTGCTCTAGAGCAAACGGTGAGAGGAGATCCCAGAAAAGAGATCACAGCCACTTTGTTCCTCCCTGATCACTTTGCTGCTGGGCTGGGCTGAGCTGAGTTAAACCATGTTCAAATCCAGACTTGTGCTTTTGTACTCTCCAGACAAACCATAACTTATAGCTCACAGTTCAGTTTGCCCAGACTGAGCTAAATCATAAGCCCAGATCCAAATATATAGCATTCTAAGCCAAACCATGGCTTAGAATGCTATATGTCCTCACGGTTTAAGTTTTACCTGGAAAGTAGTGATGTCCTAATACAAAATGGATTAAAAAAAGAAAATAGTGATGTCTGGGAATCTGAAATCCATCCTCAAACTCTTTTAATCCTATCATTTCTTATGTCTGTTCTTGCCACAACCACCACCTTTATTGCTACATCGAGTGCCTTTTCCCTCTTGTATTTCATTCCTTCTAAAGTGATCCTGGGCAATCGCACCACCACATAGCCCATCATATTTAGCTGTATGCTGGTATTATTTCTAAAGTTATAATGTAGACCATTATAGTGACAGCAGTGTTTCTTGTACTGGTCACATTGGGTAGAATGGTCCATCAGTTGTTAACACATAGGAAGGGAAACGCATTGGACTTGGTGACCTTGGGCTAGTCACACTTCTCTGAAGTCTCTCAGCCTCACTCACCTCACAGAGTGTTTGTTGTGGGAGAGGAAGGGAAAGGAGAATGTTAGCCGCTTTGAGACTCCTTAGGGTAGTGATAAAGTGGGATATCAAATCCAAACTCCTCTTCTTCTTTTTTCAATTGTACATACCATACTTTTCCGTCTATAAGATGCCCCAGTGTATAAGATTACCCTATTTTGGGGGACTCAAATTTAAGAGTTGTGGAGCTTTTTTAGGGGGGATTGCCGAAAATCGCTCACCCGCACGTGTCAGTCAATCCACTTCAATCTGCTTCCCATCTGTCCATCATCTCCCATCTGTCCCAGGAGCTGCAAATTGCCTGCCCAAGCACTGGAGCATCAGCCACTCAACACCACCTATTGACGCAGCAACCAATAACACGCACAATAGCTGCTGACAGCCGTGGCAGTAACCAATCAAATGTCCACCCTATGCACTACCCATGTATAAGACGACCCCCACTTTTTAGCACGATTTTAAAGGAAACATAGTCTTTTTACACAGGAAAGTACAGTACATTTGTGTAACAATGTTGCCTAAACCAGGAATTGCTATCTTGTCTGTAAATACACATGGGCATACTTACACAATAGTACTCATCAATATTCTGTTCACCCCTCCCCTCAGTTACTCTAACCACACACCATAAGCGATGGCAGAAATAATGTAGGACCTTCTACACTTGTGCAAGCACAGTTCCTCAATTTATTTAAAAAAAACTGTGTATATATATCTCCGTATCCCTGATCCGTATACTTGGCTGAACCTTTACTGAGCACCAGAATCTTAGGGAGTTAATAATGTAGTCCCTTGGGTTCATTAAAGAGGAAGCAAGCAGCCTTTTTCCAACACCCATGCAAGAGAATTGTAAGCAGATGCTTTAACACACATTTCATTGTTAAATAGGCATTGTTCTCAAGTTTGTTACTATGGTGTTGGCTCCGGTCTGTTTATAATCTGACTCCATTTCATTGTGCTTGGTGATAAAATCTCTGGTCTATTGACTCTGGCAGGGCTTGTTGTCTCAACTCTCATTGAGGGAGCATTAATTGTGGAAACACTCAACGCCATCTGTGTAATTTATACCTAAGGAAGTGCACTTACTATTTCATAAGGCCAATGTATTTTGTGAATTTTTAAAATAAATAAGCAACTTCAGTAACATATAATTTAGCTCCATGCATTTTGTTTGCTGACATACATCCCAAAAACTCTGATCCTTCAGTGATGTGCTTTGTAATGTGTTTTACAGCACAATCCTACATGTTTAACCTGAAGTTACTTCCATTATAAGGGACGCGGGTGGCGCTGTGGGTAAAACCTCAGCGCCTAGGACTTGCCGATCGCATGGTTGGCGGTTTGAATCCTCGCGGCGGGGTGCGTTCCCGTCGTTCGGTCCCAGCGCCTGCCAACCTAGCAGTTCGAAAGCACCCCCAGGTGCAAGTAGATAAATAGGGACCGCTTACCAGCGGGAAGGTAAACGGCGTTCCGTGTGCTGCGCTGGCTCACCAGATGCAGCTTGTCACGCTGGCCACGTGACCTGGATGTGTCTGAGGACAGCGCTGGCTCCCGGCCTATAGAGTGAGATGAGCGCACAACCCTGGAGTCTGTCAAGACTGGCCCGTACGGGCAGGGGTACCTTTACCTTTACCTTACTTCCATTATGTTCAGTGGAACTTAATGCTTAGTCAACAATGCAATCCTCAGAAGTAAGTCCCATTGAGTTCAATGGGAATACCAAAATGAAGAGTTGAGTAACAGAAGTGTGCCAACCTTAAGCTACTTGAGTCTGCTCTTAAAAGTGTCTTCCTGTAGATTTTAAATACTGCAACCAGCATATTCTGCATGGGTGGGAGGAAATGGAACATCACTGAATTTAAAAAAATGAAAAGGCTCTCTTTCAACAGAGGAAACCGTATAAATACACATGCTAAGTGGCTATCTCTGTTAATTAGAAGCAAGGGAGAATTGCTGGTATAATATACAACGTAGGAGAAAGGAGATACAGATGCTGTTGGAAGATTCTCCTTCATTTGTTTCCAATAAATATTTGCCAGATTCCCATGGGTGATGCTTATGCAAACTAGGGGCTGTATCATTAATTACGTTTGCGATTTCAGGAGTGTCCTTATATAAACTCAAGACCTTAGCTTTCATTTTGTGCTGCGAACTGTGCAACCCAACAGTGTGGCTGCAATTACTGATGATACAACTCAGGTTTTAATATAGTTTCCTAGTCTTTTATGTTTCAAATTATGAGCAATGACAAAGCAATGAAATCACCTTTTTAACAGAGCTGCAAAATGAAAGGAGTAAGACCTCAAAAGGGAAACAAGAGTATCACAGCTCACAAGGGAAATGTGGATAAGTGTGAAAACATTCCAGCCAGGCACAGTGAGAATTATGAGTTGTTAATAGTTGGAGCACATTTTGGCTCTTTCAGGTTATTAACGGGAACATTTTAGAACTCAAGTTTGCATAGGAAATAGCAGTTTATCAGCATTCATATCACATAATCAGAACCCCGCAAAAAGTCAACTGTGCTACATTTTGAATGCATATGCATGAATCTAAATGCAGATATCTATGATTTTTCAGCTAGCAGCAAAAAGGAGAGGGAAGAAAGTGGGAGAGATTCTTTCACTTGAAAGGTCAGCCATCAGAGCAATGCTGAATTTTCATTCTTTAACATTTACAAGGAGTAAAAAAGTATTCTCCAAAGCTTTGCTTTCAACTTTGTCATGTGGTTTTTCATGTCTGTTCAAAACCATTGCTCTCATTCTGCTTCTGTTCTGGTGTCACCTTTAAAAAAAAATTAACTGTGCTGCTTCTTTCTCCCCCAGCGCATGATTTTAGCTGGTCATGGTGAATATGATCACATATAGTGAGTATGAGCACATCATGTAGTCATGTATCTGCTGACACCAGTGAGTGCAAAAGAGAAAGCTATTGTCATTGAATGTGCATTGGAATGCACATCCAAGTACCGGTACACATCCTACTTATAGCACTAATTGTCAGAATCCATTCTCAGCTCTACATATCAGTGTTCATTCAACTGCATTCCATAGCCAATGTTCTGTTTGGTAGCTTCATTGCCACACCACAAGCTTGGCAAAACAGAGAGCATTGTTGCAGTTGCTGAGGCAATAGAGGTGCCCCTGTAAATACATTTTGTTTCCCTTTCAAATGCCCCCAGTATCTCTCTGAAAATAATAACACTTTTGAAAGGGTATACAAGACTTGGTCCCTTTGTTCAGCTCATCTCTCCTATACACAACTTCAGTACAGTGGTACCTCGGGTTAAGTACTTAATTCATTCCAGAGGTCCGTTCTTAACCTGAAACTGTTCTTAACCTGAAGCACCACTTTAGCTAATGGGGCCTCCCACTGCCGCTGCACTGCTGGAGCACAATTTCTGTTCTCATCCTGAAGCAAAGTTCTTAACCCGAGGCACTATTTCTGGGTTAGCGGAGTCTGTAACCTGAAGCGTATGTAACCCAAGGTACCACTGTATATTTGGAGCCTAAATCTAGTCTCCTACCAACAATCTGAAAGCAACATTAGAAAAGTAAAACAGGTTATCTAATTCAAACAGATCATAAAGATGATAACAGTATGCTTTGTGTAACATTACATTTTACTGAGTGGGAGATGTTACATAGTAGTGAACACATAATTTGAGATATAGTTTTTCATTTCCACTATATATTTTCTACAGCATCAATAGGCATATCTAGCTTGGAAAATTGAAGATCGACAAAGGGAAGTATCTAGGGATGGACAAACAAACCTATTTCAATTCTACGTCAGTTTCATTGGTGCTCAATCATAGGTCTGTTCTGGCCTGCTGTTTTGCAGATATTTTGAAAGAGTAAATAATAATAATAATAATAATAATAATAATAATAATAATAATAATTTATTATTTATACCCCGCCCATCTGGCTGGCTTCCACTCTGGGCGGCTTCCATAGAAACCAAAAATACACTAAAATATCACACGTTAAAAACTTCCCTGAACAGGGCTGCCTTAAGATTCTTCTGAATGTCAGGTAGTTGTTTATCGCTTTGACATCTGCTGGAAGGGCGTTCCACAGGGCGGGCGCCACTACCGAGAAGGCCCTCTGCCTGGTTCCCTGTAGCTTTGCTTCTCGCAATGAGGGAACCGCCAGAAGGCCCTCGGCACTGGACCTCGGCGTCCGGGCAGAACGATGGGGGTGGAGACGCTCCTTCAGGTATACTGGACCGAGGCCGTTTAGGGCTTTAAAGGTCAGCACCAACACTTTGAATTGTACAATTTATATTTAAATTGTAAACATTTTATACACATTCTTCTCTTAAGATGCATGTTCTTGTATGTACTCTTTACAAAAAATGCATAAGTTTGTGCATTTTTCATACTGAATGCATCACAAAATCTGGAAAAAAATAGTAATTTGGCTGATAGTTGTTTTATAATGTGCAAGCCAGTTGAAGGCTCAAAAACTGGGCTGGTCCATTGCAAAAAGCAGACCAAACTTCTCCTTCACCTTTAGAAATAACTAACCCAGGAAGAGGCAGAAACCTGAACTGTGTTAACTTCAACAGTATTAAGCCTGAGAGCATAACATGGAAGTCAAAAGCTAGATTTTTCAACATAGTTGAATTGGAGTTCTTTCAGCGCTTGAATTCTGCATGCTATGACTGGTTAGGGGGTGCCAGCACACTCTTTATTAAGAAGTTACACTGATTTTTCTTTCCCCAAAATGGGTGACTAAGCTCTGGGCATTGACTATAATTGAAACAAGAAAGTCAGTACAGGGAGGGAGGGCGTCTGCAGTTTCTGCTGGGAATTGTATGAATTCATGTTCCTTTGAGTCTTAAATATCTAAATTGCATGGGGTTAGTGGTGAGGGAGAGAGCGCCTGGTTTCCTTCATTCTATAGGTGTGGGAAAAAAAGAAATCTGCTCTTAATCTCAAGGATTCTCTTACTCAAATAAACGGAGTCTCTTGAGGCAGATGGGTTCTATGGAGCTCTTGTTAACCCCAGAGCCAATTCCCTGGGTGGAGAGCTGTCCTTTGTTCATGATGTCATGGTCAAATGGAACCAGAAACACGAAACACTAGAAGATTGTGAGCTTTTTTTGTTTTTGAAATGTAATTATATGTGTATCGAGGAAATTTAGGATAGCAGGTTTTCATCTCCCCCCTGACCTTTGCTACTGAGTTAATGAAAGGGTAGATGGATCCACTTTGAATATGAGCTTCAAACAACCCTTGATAGCTCAGTCTTTATTACAGCTAACCATGTTGTTGACATTTTGTCAGATACCAAAGGGTGGGTTGGTGTGTGTGTGTGTGTGTGTGTGTGTAAATAAATAAATAAATAAATAAATAAATAAATAAAAACATTTGTATGCTGTTTCTTCACAGCTTGAGGCAATATCACATTTGTATGCTGTCTTTTCAGGGCTTGAGGCAATATCTAGCAAATAAACCATCAACTGTAATAAAAAAGGAACATTTAAAATAACAGTGCACTTTCTAGCAGCAGTACGATAGGACCAAAACACCCTTTCCACAGCTGTAGGACTCCTGGATGAGGTAGACTTTGTGTCCATTTGCAAAAGCCACCAGAAAAGTACAATTTTCTGTCTCATTCAGCAGGTTGTGCCATAATGTCAGAGCAATTGCAGTAAGAGTCCTGCTCCTCTTCACCAATTATTCTTTCTTCATGCACTACAGCCAGTCAGAGCCATGGCAGAGGTTATTTTGTCATATCCTTCAATAGCTATTTACATTTTATTGAATGATCTAAAAGCAAAACTGGGATTCTGAAAACCAAAAAGAAGAAAGGAAATGTAGACTGGATGCCAGCAAAGCTCCTGTTGGCCTCAACCTATAAAAGTGAACAACTAAAAAGGGGGGGACATAGGGAGGTTAATAATGGAATTATAATGAAGGATCACCACTGCATAGGGACTGACAAATACATGTGAAGCACTTGGATGTAAACAAATACTTGTATTATAAAAGTGTAAACAGGCATTGCAAGGACAAATACAATTTATACAATAGTCAATTAGCACAGTGTTTATGGGGAAGTTGGAGGTGTTGCAATGAGCTACACAGGTAATTATAGTAAATAAAACACATTCCATTTTATGGTAGAGTCAACCTATTAATCCAGGTTGAACTCTGCTCTGAATGATGAATTATTACGAATGCAGCAAGTAGCTGAAGTAGAGGCAAAAGGCAAAAATTATTGGCTTACAAACTGGTGGGTTACCAATTTAGTGACTTGATATGGGGCCCCAGTTTTCTTCTTGAGCTGTGCATAGTTCAGCAAGCATGCCTAGAAATTGTGTTCTGGCATAGTAAAAATTTCTCTCTCAAAAGTGAAAATCAGTGTAGCAATTTCAATCCACTCACAAATTTTGCATCGTGTATGTGTCTGAGGTGGGGAAGCAAGTAAGGGAAATCTAAGCGCCTACTACTGCGAGATACTAGACAAACCTACTTTCATTGGCATGGATATAAGAGAATTATCGTTCTATTTACTTTATTTTTTGGCAGAATTTAACAGCATAGGACTATAATGTGTAATTGCAAAAGCACTCAAGATACCACTCTTAGTTAAGTTTACCATCACTGAGGTCCACTGAGGCTGATTATCCTTAACAACTACCATCTAATGCTCAGAGAAATAGAGAATTCAAAGGATTTGACATAAATGTTATGTACTGATGAATATCTTGGAGAAAAAACATACTGTGATCACGTGTACAGTGCAGCATAAAATATGGAATAGTATTCCATAAAGGCAGTTGGGTTTTATTTTTAGTGGTCTTCCGGTTTGGTCTGCCCTAATTTTTGTGACCCTTTTCTGGTTGTGTCCTTCATGAGCAAAGAGAGCAAACCTTTTGGAGGTGGAAGCATATAGCTGCTGCTATTAAACTAAATGGATTTCAACTAGTTCAAATAGCAAGCGGGGGAAATCATTTATATCTGGATTGACAACTTGCAAAGAAAGATTTCATTTCAGCGAATGATGTTAATCCCTGAGAATTGGACTGACAATGGAAACACTGACAGATTTTATCCTTAGCATCGTTTGCTTGACACTGCTTCATTTACTGGATTTAGCCTTCATGGTGAATCCAGAAAATATAGACGAAAAGAACATTGAAAAAAACTGCTGAAACTGGAACTTTTTTCTTGTGGTTAAAACAAGCCGCCAGTTGAAATAGAGGCTCTGTTTTCTTAGGGTGGCAGTGCTTGGAAATCCAATGAAATTATTTTTGGCATAAACCCGTAATAGTAGCTCTGTGGTTATCATTGCTTAAAGTGGTGGACCTAGAGCAAAACCATTGTTTTAATAGGATAGTCCTACAAAGAGTGTAATTTTGTACATTCTGTGTGGCATGAGGTTTTTCTGTTTTGTGGGAAGAGAACAGCAGCCAGCTTTTGTTCTGAAACAATTCTCATTGATGAAAATTGAATTCCAGAACATTGGGTACAACAACCTATCTATTTATCTACTTTATTTCAGAAATTTGTAAACTGCACCTTCATCCAAAAATGGATTTTAGGGCAGTATACAATCTATAGATATAATATGAAACATAAACAATACAATAAGATTTAGAGGAACACAACTATTTAAATAAATTTTTAAAATACTATAGCATAAAATGGCTAGTCAAATGAAAAGCAAGGCTTTCCCAGCATCTTCAGACTGAGGAAAACTCCCCTACAGCTTCTCCTCCTCCACAGCCACACAGGAGTATGCAGCTGCAACATTTGCTATGGTGTCTTTTAAAGATTGCATACAGCACGCCCAAGGAGATAAAAATACTCAAAAGAAAATGCTAAGATGGCAGCCTGAAGATGACGCTGGTGGCCAGTTTCCATAACTGAGGCAGCAGGGCCCACTAGGAGTTGCACACAGCCCTGATCAGCTTTGCATAGCCCCACACCTGATATAGGCTTGGAAAGTTTTTGGTAATCACTACCACTTCCAAGTCATGGCAGAGCAAGATGTATGTCTGTATGTCTGTCTATTATACTATTTTATTAATTTTTACAAGAACAAACAAACAAACATCACATAACAACTCCCATACATGGAATTTCCAAAATCCCTTGACTTCCCTCCACTCCCCCTTCTTGGTTCTTTTGTTTTACATTTGTTCATGCATGCCCATAATATCTTCAATTCATAATAATTCCCAATTTTATACCTTATCATATTACAAGTGTTTTTCGAAATCCTTCTAACATATAATATTATACACAATGCTTTGAAAATATCCAATAAATATTTTTCATTTTTTCAAATTATTGTCCTTTTATTTTCTTGAGTTCCTATTTGATTAATCATTGCTGCATAGTCCATTAATTTATTTTACCGATCTTCTTTATCTTCTTTGGTGGGGAGCTTCTTCTTTTTCATATTCTGGGGTGATTGTGGCCAAGCAACTGCTATCAGATACAGGAGGAGATTCTTTGGCAGAGCAAGAAATTTAGGGCATTACATTAAGACTCAGTACATTGAGTTTGGCTTGTCAGCAAACAAGGTGCCAATATAGTTCTTTCAGGACTGATGTAACATGGCTGTATCTCGGAAAACCAATAAGTGCTGGCAGCTGAATTCTGTACTAGTTGAAGCTTCCAAATCAATTTCAAGGGCAGTGCCACATATAACGCACCACAGTAGTCTAACCTGGACTTTACTAGATCATGGATCATTGAAGCCAGGCTCTCCCTATCCAGGAAAGGCTACAGCTGGTTATACAACCAAAGCTGGTGAAAGGTGCTTTGGGATACTGAAGTCACTTGAGTCACAAGCAACAGAACACCTCAAGGTTGTGCATCTGCTCCTTCAAGGTGAATGCATGTCTCGGGAGATGATGGAGGAGTGCAACTTTGGGGGGGGGGGGTTTTGAAGTCAAACTAATCCTATCCAAAATAAGAAATAAACGAACTTTAGGGAGTCAAGAACCACCAACCCACAGTGCCCCTGTCTTGTCAGCCTCAGTCTCTTCTTGTTGCGCAGGCAATTGTGACTGATACAGAATTAAGATTGGGTGCAGTATGCCAGCTGGTTCCAGTAAAGATCTTGCTGGTGGAGCAACATTCTGGCCAACACCCAGTTAGGTATAAGGGACTACCCACATCCTCCTAAGCTTAGTTTCCCAAGGGAGGAGGAAGAAGAACATAGTAGTGCAGAAGAAAATGTACAGGTTAGTGCTGTACTGAAACTTATCCTCTTGCCTACTTAAAAGTTTGCTTCGCCTGTGTGAAGGAGGCTTCCATTTTTCTGCTTCATTCACATGGAACTTTATAGATTTAGTGGGCAAAGAACTGGACCTACTTTTTAATTGCAAGGTAGCCATGGGTGGTTTGTGGTTTTTCTTCCAGTTAAAGGTTTCTCCAACATTCTGCTTCCCTGCCATTCCTGATCCGATCTGAAAAAGCCCCATGTGACAAGTTATCTCACAATTTCTTCCCCTGGGCGTTAATTGAAAGCAGGTCAGGAGTAGAAGCAACTTGTTGAATGAGGCGGAACCACTATGCCAGCTTCCTTGGAAGTGAGTTGGTTATTGCTTACTGAGAGGAGGAGGGGCAAGGCTGTGAAGAGGTCGTCATGGTGCAAACACACTGGCCGGAGCACTGGGTCGGCTCCGCAGGTGCATTTGCACCACTACAACGTCCCCACCATCTCACTCCCATCTCTTTCCTGCCTGGTGGCTGCAGCTCCATGAAGCAACCCACTTCTGCTGGGGAGGTTTACTACTCAGCACATGAGATCAGCAAGCTCAGCACATTGGTTTTTAAGCAGATTCCTTCCTTTTACTCTTAAACTTTCAGCACCAGTTTCTTTAAAAATAAAACAAAAACAAAAAAAGCCCCAAACCAGTAAACAGTTGTCAGGCACATGGTAGGAAGCCTTCTTGAACTTAAAGGAAAGCCCAGCTGAGGTCTAAAGACATGGCTTATTCCTGTCTTCATTTGTTAATTGGGCTCTTTTGGTCCAGTACCTATATTTTCTTAGTGTGAGCTGAGTACCTCATACAGAGAAGTAAGACCTGACAACCCCCTGCAGTGTAACTGTTGGCTGTTTTCAATAGGAAAAGCTAAGCAGTCTACTGTTAACATTTACCCTTAGCAACTTGCTTCAAGAATTTCCTGCTGTATAGTTGGCTCCACAGATTCAATAAGCCTTGTGAATGATGTGTCTGCCATTACTTGCCTTTTTTCACTACACTTAATACACTGCTGCTCCTTATTCTGGATATCATGCCTGTTCCAACCTTGCTATAAAAGAGTGATGCAGGCGACTTAAGTCACACATTTTGGGAAGTGACTGCTCTTACGTTGTCAATCATCCTGGAAAAGCTGCACAATCTCCTCAAAGTTCCACTTTGCCATGATGAGGAGTCACCTAGACTCTGGCTAGCAAGGAGAAGCCTGAGGCATTGCCTCAAACTTGAAGCTGCAGGGCATTTTTTAGGATGGGGAAATGCCCTACCAGAACTCAAAATTCCCCATCAATAAAGTGCCCTTTTGTGTTCACTCAGTTTCTTTCTCAATATAAAGACATGGCTCCCTTTGCCTCTCTGCCCATCTGACCAGTCTTGTGCCCCTTCTCAGTAAACTCAAATCCACCCACTACTGCTCAAGTGCCTTTTTCACAGTGTCCCTTCCAAAATATTGTTTATAGCACCACACAGTCAGAGGGCGTATTAAAACAAATGGCAAAAATGCACATTGAAGACAATGGGACATTCCCCAAAAGTTTGTTGGAGATAATTGAGCTGTGATTGTCAGTTGAAATAAATACAAATTTGAATATTAAATGTGATGAATGCTTGTGCACTTGAATAATTTGCTATTTTAACAACAGGAAGAGGGCAGAAAATAGTCTGGAAAAATTCCTTATGTCCAGTCGTTTATATTGCTGCTGATGCTAGAGAGGATGGCAGGGAGAGAATTTAACCCTGCTTTGCTAAATACATAATAGATTGGGCTGGGGGTCAAGAAGAAGAGAAAAAGAGCTTGCTTGCCTCTATGCTGAGAATTCTCATACTTTGCATTCATTCTTTGATTTAATTTGTAACTCTTTGACCTGCTGCATACTGGTCTTGCCTCACCTTAATAAACATGCAGCCCTAAAGGCCAATGTAGATATTTTACTGAAATGCAAGAGCCAATTGGAGTGTAAGGAAGCACCTCTAAGCACTCTTAGTGTATGTCAGAGACAGGAAAGCCTAGATTGGAGTCTGGGGTCTGTGTTCCGGCTGATCCGATAATTGAACATTCATCCTGATTCGTTTGCAGTGTGCTTAGATGACATTGTATCATGCAAACATTATCCTACACTTTCCAGTCATTTTCCCCATGTACATTTCCCATGCAAGCGGTCCAATATTTGGGGGGAAGAAAGTTTGTTGCATAAGACCTCTAGATAAATTTCTACTGCACAAACTGAGTTTGCCAGTATGTGACTGAATCCTACCCAAAAATAGCAACACTCTGGAAGTGTCCTGCATTGTGAGATTAAGTTGGTAGTCAATCAGCGTAAGAGACTTGGATGGGTTGTTGGTATTATGGCAAATGCTGAAAGAAATGCTAAAAGAAGCATACAAACGTGCAAGAGGCTGCTGAAAAATGTATTAAATTGACATGCCATTTTGCCAAGTGCTCATCAGCTGCTACTATTTCTACCAACACTTGAGAGAAAGGTATTTTGGAATTAGGCACCCACTAGCTGTACTTCTGGAAACAATTCCAGATGTGAATGTCTCTGCCTAGGTATTGTTTGTGAGCCTATATTTGGTTGTAGGGATGTGGGTGGCGCTGTGGTCTAAACCACTGAGCCTCTTGGGCTTGCCGATCAGAAGGCTGGTGGTTCGAATCCGCACAACGGGGTGAGCTCCTGTTGCTCTGTCCCAGCTCCTGCCAACCTAGCAGTTTGAAAGCACGTCAAAGTGCAAGTAGATAAATAGGTACCGCTCCGGCGGGAAGGTAAACAGCATTTCCGTGTGCTGCTCTGGTTCGCTTAGTCATGCTGGCCACATGACCCGGAACCTGTACACCGGCTCCCTCGGCCAATAAAGCGAGATGAGCACCACAACCCCAGAGTCAGTCACAACTGGACCTAATGGTCAGGGGTCCCTTTACCTTTACCTTATGTTATATAACACTAACTAAGTTATTGCAAAATACTCCCAGCATATATGGCTTTGTTAAAGACCCAAAAAGTTCCTACCTGAAGATCAGATGGGTTTTGTATAGTGTGGATCACATTTCTCCTTCCCTTCCCACTTTTCTATTCAAAGACATGTAGAATGGCCAACACGATGAAGAATGCAAGTAGATAAATAGGTACCGCTGTGGCGGGAAGGTAAACAGCATTTCTGTGCAGTCTGGTTTCCGTCGCGGTGTTCCCTTGTGCCAGAAGCAGTTTAGTCATGCTGGCCACACGGCCCGGATAGCTGTCTTTGTCTGTAAATCCCTTTGGGTATGAGAAGAAAGATAACCAAAAAACTGACCCACAGTGCTGCATAAAAGAGACAACCATTGGAAAGGGAGATGGCTATTATCAAGTCATAAGATCTGATGTGAAGTTTATTGGCAGAATTGAAATGATTACTTGAAGCTGTTTAAGAATGAGGGGGGATATTTGTTGCTTGTAAACTGCGGCAAGACTATAGAGGAAAGGGGAGAAGCACTCAGAGAATAGGACTTTTCTAACTGCTAGTGGTGCAAGAGCTGAATGGAGAAGATTCAGCTGCCTGACTTTCAGATTTGCTTCTCAGACACAGTCTTCTCCATCAGTTGTTTCTAGAATGTCTCCTGTATGTTTTAATTATTTTTTGCTGTAGCTTGGCTTATCCTCTTGAACTTTGTGTACATTAGTTGCTGATTCTGACCTAATTGTAGTGTGGATTGTGTTAAGTTGATGGTTTTTAAAGTCCCTTTGTAACAAAGGTATCTCAGTGTGTGGAGAGTTGGACAGACCAGTTATTTATCTTATTAGTGTTCTGCTGATTGAATACATTTAAAGGAGCTTTCAGAGATGATAGATAGATAGATAGATAGATAGAACACAAGCTTAATGTGCATTTATAGATAACAGACTGATCCTATGCATGTTTATGTGGAAATAAGTCTTGATACATTCAGTGGGGCTTCTGAGTAAACAGAAATAGGATCAGGGTGCAATTTGCAGCGAGCTTTCAAGCTGGTACCTTATAACAATTTCAGTCTTTCTCAATGAAACGTTCTTTCTTTTAATAATTTTGTGTTTAATATCTAAGGGGGAAAGAGCTTTGCTATTGGTATGAGGAAACTGATTACTATTTCATCAACAATTCAAAACTTTACTACTGGGAAAGGAAAGCCCTGCGTTTTACTAGAACAGCTCTAGCAGTATGGAGAGTTCAGTAAGTTTATACTTCAATATTCTGTATAGCAACATGTTAAAGGCTTTCGGGGGGGGGATGCACATTGAAATATGCTCTTACGTTTATTCATCTCAAATAAATACTGTCCCCTATTCCATATTCACAATTATTTTTTCATAACAGAATTCCCAATTTACCCATTAAGGATACATTATAGAAATGGTATACAGGATCAACATCACTCTGGTTTTGAGTGCAACAGAGTCATTAAACTAGAAGCAGGGGTGTGTAGAAGTCATTAAATGATTTTTAATCATTTGATCAATTTTGAAATAATTAAAAGAGTATCAAACAAGATAGCGAGACCGTTTCAGTGAATTGTGTGTCCTTGAATTTTATAAAAGGGAGGATACATGAGTCCACAAATTTCAAGCTAATTATTCTTTCCAAGGATCTTTTAAAGGCTTTTGGTATTTAAGCTGATTTTTGCCATGGAAAAGTGATAAAGGGGAGGGGAGGATTCAAAAAACAGGATTCCAGTTGTGGCAAAGCACCACTGGGAGGGGACCAAGGTTTCCTCGGAAATGGGTGGAGAGAGACAAAACTTGTTCTTCTGCTTGTTCTTCAGACAACAAAATGCTTTGGGACAGCCATGATTACATTGCAATACATGCAATTAGTTAATTGCGGCAATGGAAGCTTATCCAGTTGGCATTACCATATGCCAGACTATATTTTCTCCCTGTTGATAAAACTGTGAAATTTTTCATGCTGAAGCCATTGTGAAATCCTACCTGATAAAACTTACAATGAGATATACTTGCAAGCTATGCCTGCCGTTGGCATTATTGCTCTCCTTGAAGATAGATGCATCTGTGAACAGCATGCTCTGTGAATATTAATAAAATTTCTTACCAAGAAACAATAGTGCTATAGGGTCTATGAATGGAAGAACAGAAATGACCTTTGATGTGGTTCCCATACTGAAGTGTATTCATTGCGGATGATGCACAGAACTGTGCCAGCTTGAAACTCCATGTGACAATCATACCTGACCTGTGTCCTTGCTTTTTAATCCTTCCTCTTTCCTCTGTCAATCTATTTCATCAACAAGAATATCCAATTTGATTTTTTTAATGTTAGGAAGCTGACATGGAAGCAAATACCCTAATACTATTTAACTATGTAATAAAAAAAACCAAAGGAAGGGAGATAAATCCTTTCTTGAATGTTGCTACAGTTCAAAGCAGCAAATTTGCCCATGTATTTAACCCCAAACAGCATTTTATGGCCATCCCTAACCTCCTTTTTCCTATTCAGAAGGGAGTTACATACCAAGGGATTGTATTTAAACAACAAAGGTGGAGATGCTACTATGTGCTAGTGTCTGGATTTTGTTGTGCAAACCTTTTTTCATTAGCATCCCTATTGACATCAGAAAACTCGTTTGAGCTGTCCTGACGCATCTGACTTTCATTTGAATTGTTCAGGAAATGGGGCCTGCGTATTCCTGCAGTATATGGCTGGTGTGCTTCTTTTGCCCTTGCCCAAGAAGCATCTGTCACTTCCTGCCACTCAGCACATGGCTTCACTCTGGATCTAAACATGATTTGAGGTGTGCCAGAGAGGTCTGGCTAATGAGTGCCCTTTGTCTAGGAGGGCTTTGCAACTGATGCCTAGTATCAGAGTCTGAACCATTTCCTTATGAGAGCTTAGTCCACTCAGTATATTCAGCCAAAACACAACAAAAAGAAGGGGAAATCAATCTTGACAACATTTACTCAGTTTACATTTGTTACATGCATTTCAACTCCCTGAAATCAATGCCCTTAAGCAGCCTAAATTGTGGGTTGAATTGTTTATTACTCTTTTCTCTGGCTTTCGACATTTGAGGTGTATATTTTTAGGACCCTCCATTCTTTTGTGACTGCAGGTTGTTCCAAACAGTTTTTAATATTGTGTCTTCATGTTGTAACCTGCCCTGGGAAATTAAAGTGAAGTGTTGGTAATAAATTAATAATAACACCATAATATATTAATGCTTCACTACTGACAAAACTGACAAATGTAGATGGGTTAATGGTCAGGTCAGGGCTTATATATTGGTTTTAAATTCAGTATATCAGTTTTTTTGCAAGTTTCTTACATGTTATTTGGATATATTTTTAGGAAGCTGATTATGTCCATACTGCGTGTCTAGTATCTTGTTTGGAGATATACCAGTTCTGGCCTCCCTGTGGAAATATTTAATTTAATTTCATTTAATTTATTAAATTTGTATACCGCCCTTCATCTGAAGATCTCAGGGCAGTTCACAGCATAAAAATGCAAAATAAAAACACAAAATACATAATAAAAATGAAAACAAAACCATAAGCCCCTCTCCCACAAATTTAAACACATTTAAAAGGACATGGAATGTTAATCAGCCCTTCAAGGCCTGGTTGAAGAGAAACATTTTCACCTGACATCTAAAGATGTATAACGAAGGCGCCAAGCAAGCCTCCTTTAGCCATGTTTGCTATCTTTGTGGCTCATTCCAATCTAGGAGAAGAAAATAATTCTTGTGAGATAGATAAATATCTTTCTCCAAAGGTTCCCATGTAACCAGTGGAGAGTCTTGCCAGGAGCAGCACTCCGCATTAAAGCCCCCAAACAATGGCTCTATAAGTCATCTCCTAATAACAAAAACCACAAGAATTAACAATAACCCAGTTATGATTTCCTAGTGTTCCCACTTTATGAAGCACATCACTGCTATGTGAGTTAGTCTTTCTGAAAGGGGTGGGGAGGAAAGCCACATCTGGCATCCACATGCAAGGCCTTCGCGAAGAAGATGAAATATTTTAACAGTGCACTTTCACGGGGACTGCCTTATCAGCACATATCTATTGACTAGGCTTGAAATGGAACCTTTTGCATGTCGCCCTTTTTTTTTTTGCTCACAGTAATGTTCCTGGTCTGTTCTCTCCTAGGTGCATAGCGTAATGTCCATGCTGTGCTACACTCTGATTATAGCATTTCTGATCGGCATACGGGCAGCACCAAAAACTGAAGATAATGCACCACTGGGGTCTCCTGCAACATCTGGCATTTCTGAAAGCAGACGGACTAAAACACACCACATTATGAAAACGTCTCAGCACAGAGACCACAGCCAGCCTGTTACTGGGAAGGTAGTGAACAGGAAATCCGGGCAAGCTGCAAGCATCATAGTGGATCCAAAGCTTTTTCAGAAGAGGAGGTTCCAGTCACCTCGGGTTTTGTTCAGCACTCAGCCTCCACCTTTGTCAAGGGATGGACCGAGTGTGGAGTTCCTAGACAGCACAGACTCTACGAACAGGACGATCCGAGCCAAGCGCGCAGCTCACCCTGTGCACAACCGAGGAGAGTACTCTGTGTGCGACAGTGTTAGCGTGTGGGTTGCCAACAAAACCACAGCGACAGACATTAAAGGCAAAGAGGTGACTGTGGTGGTGGACGTAAACTATAACAACTACCCTTACAAACAGTACTTTTTCGAGACCAAGTGCAGAGACCCTAAGCCGGTGTCCAGTGGGTGCAGAGGCATTGATGCCAGGCATTGGAATTCCTACTGCACCACCACACACACCTTTGTCAAGGCACTGACAATGGATGGCAAGCAGGCAGCTTGGCGCTTCATTCGGATTGACACTGCCTGCGTATGCGTAATCAGTAGGAAAACAGAGAACCTCTGAGATAGACCAACCCTCCATCTTATACCCACCTCCTCCCAGCCCCCTACCTCAGCCTGTAAATTATTTTAAGTTATGAGGACTCTATGGTATATTTATAGTTTATACAGTAAAGAAATGAATCCTCATTATTTATTAAAATCTTTTGAAACTGCTGATGTGTTGTATATTTTAATGGCATCTCTTTCCTTTTAAAACAGGAGCTTTTTTTCCCTTTCTTTTTTTACAATTTTGGTAGCCGCAACTTTCCCTTTTAGCATGATTGACATAGCAAGATTTTGAAAATGGAATACATTGCCATTTTGCCTTCCACATCCTGATTTACCACGAAACAGCAGTTTTTGTGTGTGACATTCTATAGTCTTGAAATAGACAAAAAGCAAAAGCTGTCATATTAGTCCATTGGAAGAATTCCAGATATCCTTCAGCTCCTCATCCAAGCCAAAATTAAACCCAAGTAAGCTAACCCAGCTATTTTAATATTTGCATTCAATCAGGCCACATATCAGAAGATACATAATTCTGCACCTTGAGTCGTAGTGGTCTTCATGTTTATACATCCTCATAGATTTCAGCTGATATCTTACAAAGCTTATTTAAAATCATCAGTTTTCACCATCTTTCATTGTGCCTGTTTACCTATTAGAACAGGCATCCCCAACCTTCGGCCCTCCAGATGTTTTGGCCTACAACTCCCATGATCCCTAGCTAACAGGACCAGTGGTCAGGGATGATGGGAATTGTAGTTCAAAACATCTGGAGGGCCGAAGGTTGGGGATGTCTGTATTAGAAGGTAAAAACCTTTTTATTTAAGTTGGTTGGTGATGTGCCCTTTTAAAGGAAACAACTGAGCAAATATTTTGTAATAAGAGAAATTATCTAGTTTGTAATGTGGAATGAAACCACCAGTCTTTTCTGCATTTCATTTGGGTCAACTGCAGCTAAAATTAAGACAGGTCCTAATCAAGCTCAATTTAGTTCTAATGAAGTCCCATTCAAACTAACATGAGTGATGAATTATTTGTCTGTTGCATTCAATGGGACATGCAGTCAAATCTATTTTTACTCCAAAGTAGGCCTTACTGATTTTATTCATTTATTTTCATAAATTTGTATACTGCCTTTATCCAAAGATCCTGGGGCGTTTCACAGCATAATGGGATATGCACAATATTATATGCATCATCATTTTAATGTGATATGATCCCAAATAAGTGTACATATAACTACTATCTGACAGCACATGCCTAATGATGTCCATTGGCAAAGGGCTACAGCTCAGTGGTAGAACATCTATCTGCCTTGCATGCCGAAGAGCCCAGGTCTAATCCACATCAACTTCTGGCAGGGCTAGGAGACAATCCTGCCTGAAACTCTGGAGAAGTACTGCCAGTCGGTGCAGACAGTAGTGAGCTAGATGGACCAATGTTGTGCTTCATTGTAAGGTGGCTTCCTATGTTCTTAGTACAAGTCAGTGGGTATACGTACAACGAATTTGTATGTTGCAACCTGCTCTGAGATCCTCTTTATAATGTAAGGTGGAATATCCATTTTGCTTAAGAAGTAGCTAAATTGGCTTAGCTGGATTGGGACAAATGTAGATAGGAATTGATTGGCAGTTCTGTTGGATTAACCTAAATACAGTTTATCATGCAAAGCTTTTAGGGCTGGAAGATGGGAAGATCTGAAACAATCGTTCTCTGATCATGACCAATTTAAAAAAAAAAAGTTCTAGTGGATGCTTCAGACACCCACTTTTTTCTGCAGTCACAATAACAAAAAAAAAAGCACACAATCTTAATGGCTTTTGGGAATGCATCTATGTATGTAGCATCCTGGTGCTTCTGAATAAAATGATAAACTGCCCAGCAGTTTTTACTAAATGAGACACTATTCATGCAATTAGCAGACATCAGGTTCCAGGGGTGGGAGGATTTGGTTCAGACCCTAACATTCAGGGTTACAAGGCTTTAACCCTTTGTTCCTTTTTGTGGTCCAAATCCAGAGACTATTTGCATCCGAGGGGAGAAGCTCCCATTTGTACATTGCTGGTGTGTGTGGTAGGGGATAGAGAGGAAGAGGAAGAGGAAGCAATTCAGATTGGGAGCATAACAGGGAGCATAGGGTTAATCTTCATGCCAGGACCCTGATCTAGACCACCACCAGTTTGCATCTGTAATTTGCTTTTTAAAAGCAACACACACAATTACTAATTGCTTGAATGGTCCTCAGAGACTAAATGAACTTGAGTGCTTCAGCAAGAGCAGCCAAAAACTGTAAGATTGTCTGGAGAAGTTAAGAACCTTATTCTGTTTGTACAAGAGCATTTATGGATTGGGTGACAAAAATGTTACTATGATTAATAATCTTCTTTTATTTAAAAGGATGGGCCTTCAAGCATTTTTCTTCTTACCATAGCTGTAAAAACGCAGATGGCTTCCTTTTGCCAGCTAATAATGGGGATGGAAATGAGTATGTTTACACAGGTTTTTATTTTTTTTTAAGAGTGTTTTGGCCATTTTTAAGGTAATATAATCCAAGAGAAACCCTTCTTTTCCTGGTGCCTTTACTCCCACGCTGGAGAGACAGCTTGTTCAGCTTGAAGACCTCCACAGTGTAGCCTTTGGGCTTAGACCTATAATGTGTGTTCCAGCCCATAGGGGCTGCAAAGAATAAAAATCTTCATAGTTCTCTTGTTTTCTTTGAAAAAGCAACTGCTGTCTGTTCAACAAACCAGTTCAAGATAAATATCACACAAACTCTTTAAGTTATAAAGTCTTTCAGAACTCAGGAGAGCAACTAGTTTCAACTCCCTTTTTTCTACTTGCACACTTATTTCCCATCTTATTGTTCCCACCCACAGCCAAGACAAAGGATCTCTGCAGGACAGTGTTTCTGTTCTAAGAATAGTTGTGTTTTAGAGGGGAGGAAACAGCAATCCAACTTTTACAACCACATTGGTATTTTCAGCAAGTCACATTCTTATCCTTGGCTCTTATGCGTGTACTGTAAGCAAGAACTGTCCAAATTCAGACAAAAATGTGCTTGCCAGATATTTCCACTTGCTGTGTTGCTAGTCTGGTGGATGGGTCCTGGGCAGTAGCTAGTTTGGTTTGAAAGTCTGTTTCAAAAGAGAAATGGAGGGTAGATGGGATAAGTCCCAGGGTATGGTCTGAAGCCATGTGAAGCCATCACCTTACTGATAGTAGTGGTCAGTGTGGTGAAGCAGATCTGCCTTTCTGACACCACTACTGCTTACCTGAATGGGGCTGGGACAGGGCAGTGGCTAAGGCTACTTGAACGCCCTGATGGAGCCAGTCTTGTGCTTGTGCCAGTGCACCTGAGCATCCTGACCACCAGTCCCATCCAGGTAATCTATAGCAATGCTGATGTTAGGAGAGGGGTTCTGCAGCTGTGCCCCACAACAGTGGGTGCTACTGCCAGTCTGGTTAGTGGCTGGAAAGGTGGCCACCTAGGAACCATAAATATTCTACATTGGGTTCCATCCTGGAAGAAAAATGGCAAATAATTGTAAGAAAATTAAGTCCATAACTCCTGCCCCTCCAAATTTACTTTCAGTGTGTCCCATTGATATAGTTGCTGCTCCCTTTCATGACCCTCTTTCATCCAGCATCATGCCTCCAAGGGCCAGATTTGGCTTAGGAGCTTCCAGTTACTGATCCCTAAGCTGTACAGTGCACAAAGTCATAGAATGATAGAATCTTAGAGTTGGAAGGGACCCAAGTGTCATCTAGTCCAACCCCCTGCAATGCAGAAATCTCAGCTAAAGCAGCCATGGCATATGGCCATCCAACCACTGCTTAAAAACTTCCAAGGAAGGAGAGTCCACCACCTCTCGTGGGAATCTGTTCCACTGCCGAACAGCTCTTACTGTCAGAAAGTTTTTCCTAATGTTTAGTCGGAATCTCCTTTCTTGTAATTTCAAGTCCTACCCTCCAGAGCAGGAGAAAACAAGCATGCTCCCTCTTTCCATGTGACAGCCCTTAAGATATTTGAAGATGGCTATTAGGTATATCTCCTCTCAGTCTCCTCTTTTCCAGCCTAAACATACCCAGCTCCTAAAAGTGCTCCCCATAAGGCTTAGTTTCCAGACCCTTGATCATCCTGGTCACCCTCCTTTGCACACGCTCCAGCTTGTCAACATCCTTCTTAAATTGTGGTGCCCAGAATTGGACACAGTATTCCAGTGAGAGCCAGTGTGGTGTAGTGGTTAAGAGCGGTAGTCTTGTAATCTGGGGAACCGGGTTCGCATCTCCGCTCCTCCACATGCAGCTGCTGGGTGACCTTGGGCCAGTCACACTTCTTTGAAGTCTCTCAGCCTCACTCACCTCACAGAGTGTTTGTTGTGGGGGAGGAAGGGAAAGGAGAATGTTAGCCGCTTTGAGACTCATTAAAGGGAGTGAAAGGCGGGATATCAAATCCAAACTCTTCTTCTTCTTCAGGTGTGGTCTGACCAAGGCAGAATAGAGTGATACTATTACTTCCCTTGATCTGAACACTAGACTTCTGTTGATGCAGCCTAGAATAGCATTAGCTTCTTCTTCTTCTTTTTTTTTTTTTGGCGGCTGCTGCATCACACTGTTGACTCATGGTCCACCAAGACCCCTAGATCCTTTTCACATGTACAGCTAGTAAGCCAGGTGTCCCCCATCCTATATTTGTGCATCTGGTTCTTCCTGCCTAAGTGCAGAACCTCACATTTGTCCCTTTTGAAATTCATTTTGTTAGCTTACACCCAGTTCTCCAATCTGTTAAATTCATTTTGAATTCTGATTCTGTCTTGTGCAGCATTAGCTTCCCCTCCCAGTTTGGTGTCATCTGGGAATTTGATGAGCATCCCCTCAATTCCTTCATCCAAGTCATTTATAAAGATGTTGAACAACAACAGGCGCAGGATCAGAACCCTGTTGCAGGTGCCTTGTGCTGCTGCTGCTGCTATCTATTCTATTCTATTCTATTCTATTCTATTCTATTCTATTCTATTCTATTCATCATGATTTTTTTTCTCAAAGAAACATCCAGGCTGAAGTTTCAAAAGGCTGTAATTTTAGCCCTGATT